AAAGCCCAGAGTCACCGTGAACGCGCCAAACAAAGTCCAACTGACCCATCCAACTGTTGTGTTTTGTTTAAAGTTCGGTGCGGTTTATTTGTGAAAAAAGTGTGAAAATAGACTATTTAATGACATTTTATAATCCAGAGCGCCTAATAGCCCAGAAAATCTGGGCCCCTTTTGTGGTACAGCACAACAGTAAACAAAGCGGTGGAGATGGATGTCGACGAAGACATACATTCTGTGTTGGCAACGATTCTCGAGATCAAGGATTTAAAGCTGGAACAAAGAGAATGTTTGGTAAATTTTATTAAGGGGAAAGACGTTATTGCCCTTCGTCCTACGGGATTTGGCCCATTACATACATCACGACCAAATAGTAGCGATTGGTTAAATAAAAAAGTACCCGCCTACCATCAAGCGAACGAATCCTAATGCTACAAAGTCAGACGGTTTCTACGAAGTGAAACCGGCTGATGAATCAGGCTAATGTAATAGCAGTTTTCAAGTTAACAACCACCTTTTACCTTTAGTTTACCTTTCTTCTTGTATTACCACATGACATCACAATGTGGAACAAAGCATTTTCAGTTTGAGAGAAGAACTCAGCCTAATTATGCAGGTTTTGTGTGTTAAACATGTGTGAATGAAACAAAACTCAACTCCAAGTATGTCTGTGATAAAGAAACATTATAATACAGTTCAGAAAATACCTTTAATTATTTTTGCTGCAGTTTTTCAAAGACATATGACCTTCTGCGACTGATGCTGGCAATGTGAACATGCTTCTTGCTGATAGCTTTGCCGATAGTGAAAAGCCTCGTGAATAGAAACCCTCCCAAATAGTTTTTTAATTGCCAACATCTGGTTATACTAGTCTAGCTTGTCAGTCTGCCTGCAGCCTTCATCTCCCTCTCTCTTTCTACACCATCAATCTACTCTGCACAAACCTACCTCGCTCTCCCCTTCACACCGCAGAAGCACGAGGGCTTTGATGACAGTTCTGAGCCTAAACGTCACCAAGATTAAGGGGTTTTTGCCTCCTGCCTCCCGCTGGATCATCCCTGGCTGCCCTCTGTGCCTCAGGCTGGTCCTCCCCGGAACAGGTGTGGAGTGGTATTTCTCTCAGCTCCACTGCGCACCATTGAATTTCCTTCTGGGAAAATAACAGTCTTCAGTGTTTACAGAGGAGCAAAAAAGGAAAGGGGAAGAGGTTAAATGAACACGCAGGGGGATGACTGGGCAAGGATGGCTGATGAACAAAATCTAAATTAAGGTTTTTGGTCACCAGGCTGTGGAAAATATGTTAGGGCCCATATTACTACTTTCTCATCTACAGTATGTTATAATGTTGTTTCCTCATCGCAAACATACCTAGAGTTGTGTTTTGTTTCATTCACACCCTGTATGTTTAGACTGAGTTCTTCTCTCAAATAGAAAACACTCTGTCCCACCTTGTGATGTCATGTGGGAACACAAAAGCGCTCCACTGTGTTTCTAAACTCCTTAGACCTTCACTAGAATCATCTGGATGATTACAGCCTTGGAATTGCCAATCTCTAGTGAACTAAAGGTAAAAGGAAGTTATTGCTCTCAATTGGAAGGAAATGGAGAGACCCAGAGTAAACCAATGGATTAAATTAATGTCCAGCAATTTGGCACTGGAGAAGTTGAGGTACATATCTAAAAGAAAACTTGAGGACTTTAAAAGACATTTGGTTGCCTTTTTTGTGCATTGTAAAGATTTCTGACATGTAGAAATCATAATTCAACTTGAGTGAACTATGTGTGGGAGGAGGGTCTTAATGTATGTATTTAATTTTTTTGTATAATGTCATTTTATGTTTCAGTATGTCAAATCTTAATAAAAACATTTGTGGAAAAAAGGTAAAAAGAAGCTTGTTAACTTGAAAACGACCACTACATGACATCACAAGGTGGAACAGAGCATTTTGAGCTTTGGAGATGTAACAGACTAATAATAAAGTGTTGCTCAAACATGTGTGTTTTACGGCCCCAGGCTTTAGATTGTCATTTGTTCTGTGTGTTCTAAATAAGTCTGCTGACACACCTGGATTCCTGCTGTGGGAGCCCTCGTTTGTGATTGGTGGGGCAAGGCTACGCCCACCTCACCTGCACCCACCGGTAAAGAGATTACCAGCACCTGGTTTTGTGTTTGTGTGTTTAGTTTAGTTCTGTTTTGTGCTTTTTTTTTATTTGGTCACTCGATTCTGTTTGTGGGTTTATGTGGTTTAATTTGGGGAACTTAGTTTAGTGTGTGTCCCTAAGTTTTACCACTTGTTTTTGTGTAAACCTGCGTGACCCCTTTTCTGGCACAAAACTCTGTTTATTCTTTGTTCTGTTTTCTTAGTTTAGGTTGTTTTCTGTATATTTTTAGTCTTTTGTTAATTTACCTTTTACCTTCCTGTTAATTAAACATTATTTAATTTATTCCATTTTACATCTTGATTTTTATTTTTGTTACTTCCCTTACCCAAACGAGCTGGGTTGTAACAGTGTGAATTAAACAAAACACAATTCCAGGTATTTTTCTGATGCAGTAACAATAGGGTGACCATATTATTATCCAACTTCAAAACTGGGACATGCCGGGGATGGGATGACTGGTATAAATAAAATTTCTGTAGATTTTCTGTATTTGGCTAAACAAATGACAGTTTATGCTCCTTTTTACTGTTGGTGGGGATCAGTTTAGTCAAAAATTGTGACAGTCATGTTGTAGTCCTGGTTTAGATCTGGACCTGGTTCAAATTGGTCAAAAATAAGAATACCTAGGACATTTCTTGTATAAAACTGAGACAAATTGAATAAATCTGCTGGGACAGGGAACACAGGGCTCAAAACTGGGACTGTCCTGGGTAAATAGGGACGTCTGGTCACCCTAAATAACAACTTATAACATGGCTTAAAACTCCCAAGTCAATTTTGCGTAATATAGACCTTAATATCAACTCTTTTTAACCAAATGTATGATTAGACATTCAGTTGTCTGGCTCCTATGGCTGTGTTTCAGGAGAATCTGGGTTACTCTTCCATCATTAGTATTCCAGGTGTAGCTCAGAGGAGATTATAAAGGAACATAATGCCAGTGGGACTTTCCTCTCTTCTAACAATGTTGTCACTTCAAAAGGACATGGAGAAAGGTTAGCTTTATTAACAGAGAATTTGCAAAATATTATTGTTTTGATTATGAAAGCCCACATAGCTGGACTTTTTTTCATTTGTCTTTTTAAACTACAAACAGGTCTTGAAGAACTTTACCATTTCAGCTCTTCAGTTGCCTCTGGGGTTTACACAAATTACACGAAGTTAGTTATAAATATTTCTAGGGTTGTTAGGTATATGGTTGGTCTAAACTTTGAACAACTAACATTAGCTATCGGTAACCTTAACAAATACTAAACATACAGTAGTTACACAAATGCTATGTACCCAGCAGACTTTTATTCACTTATATACTTTATTTGAGCTTTTAGAGTTACCTGTCTGTGTTATCGGTTTGCTGCTCGCGCTGAGTCGCACGTGGACAGGTGAGTAGGTAGCGTGCTGTCTTGGAGAAACCTCGGTAAACAGATTTTTACACATTAGTAGGGGTGTAACAATAACCAAACTATCGTCAAAAGTCTCTCAATAATATCGTGGGCCATCACAATATATCAAATTACAAGTTTCTTTGCTTAAATGAATTGTTATGGTGCAGCAGTAGCTAAAAACACAGAGGGAACTACATCGACCATGATCCTTTGCTCCGTTTTGGCGCAAACTATGTGAAGAAATAGCAGTTTTAAGTCTTGTCAAGGCATTTTAAGAGGAAAAAGTAGCATATTCATGATTTTCTTAGCCTCCACAAAATATCGCAATAAATACCGTACAGTGAGATATATATCGTGAAAATATTGTATCGTGAGATGTGGATATTGTTACATCCCTACACATTAACCCATATTTTATTCCTGCTACCGAATTATTGTTTTACCACTCATATCCTCTTGCCATTTAAGTGCGTTGACAAATTTACTTTGGAAGAAAAAACAGATGCACTTTTTATTTTATCCTCCTTTCAACCATGTGTCATGTTTCTTAATCACAGCTAGTAGACCAGTCAGGCCTACCTGTTTTTTTTTGTTTTGTTTTGTTTGTTTTTTTTTGTTTTTTTATCTACCAGGCCACAATGTACACTACCCGTCAAAAGTTTTAGAACACCACTTTTTTCCCCAGTTTTTTACTGTTTACTTTAATCTAAACTTTTGATTCATGAAAGTGCCTTTGGCAGATATAACAGCTGAACACACTCGTGGCTCGTTCTTTCTACAACAGAAATCAAATATTCTTCAGAAAGTTCTTCCCAAGTCTGTTGCAGAAGTTCGCATAAATGTGTGGCACTGTGTAGGTTGTTTGGCTTTCACTCTTCTGTCCAGTTCATCCCAAACCAGCTCGATGGGGTTTAAGTCTGGAGACTGTGCTGGACACTCCATGTTTTCAAGCTTTACCATCTTGAGGTAGTTTTGGCAGAGCTTGGACTTGTGTTTTGTTATCTTTTATATTTTTCTTAACCTCTGACTGTTCAGTACTTACCTTTGTACCATTTCAAGCTCTTCATTGGACTTGCACGACTTGAAATGCAATAAATAACTGGAAAAAAATAGGGCGCTCTAAAACGTTTGAATGGTAGTGTATGTGAAATGATTTATTATATCTGCAACTCCTTATTGATCATTATGAAGTCTCAAGCCTCACTGACTGTATTTTCAAAGTGATAAAGATACTAAATCAAAGGCTAAAATAAATAGTAAAATGTTAAGATGGACTTGGCTGTACTACAGCCTGCTGCTGTCCTTTGAGCCCAAACCATGACCTACTTAGTCCACAGTGGGCTCCCACATAGGGGCTTAAAAGGTCTACTAGTTGGAGGCATTAACATTCTAATATAGCCTACTATCCCAGAACAGTACTCTGTGTAGATTAGCTGCCCTTAATTTATCCAAGACATGGCACAACAGGTGTTAAGCGAGCATCCCCAGACCCCAGTCGTGTCCATGCACCAAAAAGAATCCAGGAATGAAGGGACCACTGTGCCGAACCCTGCTGTGAGGGAAGGAGTCTGTGGGAAGAAGTAATAAGAGAAGTCATTTAGGCTGGGAGAGCCTGGAGCATCGTCCATTCTGCGAAAGGTAAGATGTGTTTGTGATTGTGTTTTTAAAATAATATACAACAGATGGGAAAAAATCTGCTCTGCCATTGAGAACCTAAAATTAAGGGCACTGAGAAGAAGACCTAGAAAGAAAAGTAAAGGCAGCCCTGTTTCCTCGTGTTTCAGTTTCAGTGAGATTACAACCTGAGATACTGGCCCCTCTGTCTATTGTCCATGTTGCTGTTAAAATATTTGAGTGTCTCACCGGTTATTATTAAAGTAGGAATTTTATGTTATTTTATTATTCATACTGCTGGGTATAAAAATGCTGTTTTAGAGGTTTACTCTGTTGCTCCTTTTTGCCAGACAAACAAGCTACAAAAAAGCTTATGATATGCCATATTTTCCGCATTATAGGGCGCCCTCAAAAGCCTCCAACCCCTTCAAAAAATGTCATGCAATCCACAGCGCCCTATACACGAATCCACTCGGGTGTCCCAGCACGACTTCAGTAAACTACAAAGCCGCACCACCCGCAGCGCACGCAAACACACACGGAGCAGACAGTGACCGTGCAGTGAAAAACACCCACAGCCACACTCATCACTCCACGCCGACGAGGAACAGAACGGAGGACGAACCGAAAAAGCGAGTGCAATGTGCCACTTCTAGACACAACTGAACAACTGAGTCACTGCGAACACGCCGACAATCCAGCGGTCCCAGACAGCACCCTCCCTACACGCCACAACTGAACAAAGCCCAGAGTCACCGTGAACGTGACAAACAAAGTCCCACTGACCCATCTAACTGTTGTGTTTTGTTTAAAGTCCGGTGCGGTTTATTTGTGAAAAAAGTTTGAAAATAGACCATTTAATGACACCTTATAATCCAGAGCGCCTAATAATGCAGAAAATACGGTAAACACTTAAATCTATCAGAAAATGACTTAAAAGTAGTGAAATTATCTTGCTGCATGGACAGATAATTTTACTTATCTTAAAATGAATTATCTCTAGACTGGAATTAAGCAGTTTCAGAACTAGTAAGTAGATAATAAATCTGAAAACAAGATGAATAATCTGATGTAAGTTTTAAAATCTTGGCCAGGACAGAGAAATGTGTAGTGCACCTACAGACATTAATCTACTACTCAAGTCATTTTACGTTTAACCTTTAAGTTCTGTCCTGAGCTTGCCAAACCAGTCTTTATGTGCAAACTAGATAGCAGTGCAGTGATGTCATTTCAGAGTGCTGGTTGAGAAACAGCTATTTCACATTGCAGGTGTATGCGCAGGATTTTTAATTAGATCTCTGTGAGTGTCTTACAAAGAGCCAAACAGTGTTGTTGTCACAGCACTCCACAGAGGGATGAGCGAGCGAGGAAAGGAACAAGGCTGGTGTTAGAAAAGTCTTTTAATGCACGCTTATGGAAAATTCGACCCAAATAAAAGCTATGTCACTCACATTTTTGCTTTTCTCTGGTCAAAGTGAGTAAGAAAGTATGGCAACAATTTATTATAGGGTACGCATATTAAAAATTTAACTCGCTGCTACTTTGCATATTTATAATTGTTTAATTAGATCTTAATGAGGATTGATTTGACCCCTATTAAGTAGTAATTTACCAACGCTTTCCTATTAGAATATTCTCTATTACTGCTAATTAAAGGTGCACTGCGTAACTTTTCTAGTAGAGGATCCACCACTAATTTGTTTCCATGGAGATCCAAGGTTTTACAGGCATTAGACTCATCTGTGTTACATTTATTCAATTACGGGTGTTTTAATGCTCAAAAATACAACAAAAACACGCATTTCTACGGTGAGTGAGTTCGCCTCTCCACAGATCTGACCTGTAACTTGGCCTGAAGGCATTGTGGGCTTGTCTGCATGGAATCAGATGCGTTTAATGTCATACTGTGGGGCATTCTAGACACAGCAAACATTTCCAAGAATACAAGCAGATGGCAAACCTTCCGCCAGAAAGTTAAACAGTGCGTCTTTAATTAGTTTGACGTTTCATATAAAAACACTTTGTGGTGCCAGCAGCCTTTAACAACATCCTTATTACGATCATAATTCATGTGCAGCAGTTCCTAACATCAAACTAACATGTAGTCATTTTATTAGGAAATTTTAATTAACTCCAAATTAACCACATTATGCAAATCAGCAGCTAGTTACTCAATTTTCTGATCTCTGTTCTAAAGTTGTTTCCTCATCACAAACATACCTAGAGTTGTGCTTCGTTTTATCTACGTACTGTATGAGAGTACACTGTTCCACCTTGTGATGTCATGTGGTAATACAAGAAATACACCTTCACATACTAGTAACCTGTTCCCCGGACGTGCTGACATTAAATAATCTCTCACAAGTCAAATTTAAAGTGGCCAAGTGAAGGATTGTGTTGTCAGGCCTCATGGCAGCAAAGAAAATGGTGACCACACTCTGGAAGCCACCACATTGTTTATCTATTCATGCTTGGTTATTGGTGTTTTTGGATAAAGCCCATCTAGAACTCTCTCCAGCCAGAGTGCATAGGGCCAAGAGTGACACAATTACCCTATGGCATGTTTTCATTAAGCGTCTCCAACAACTTTGTAGCAGAGCTTTTCTTGGGTGAGGATTTGGACCGGGGTGGGAGGTTGTTCTTTTTGTTTTTCTTCATGTATTGAAAAAAAAAAAACAAACTTGGATTGCAGTAATTCTGACTATATATGTATGTAAGGTGTATTTCAAGAACTTCAAAACTCATGAATGTACAGTCAGTGTGATTAATCTGCAGTTCAATTAAAAAAAACAAAACAACTTCACTAGAATCATTTGGTTAATTCCAGAACTGGAACTGTCAATCTCTACTCAACTAAAGGTAAAAGAAAACCTAAAGACTACCACTGCATGACATCACAAGAAGGAACAGAACATTTTAAGCTTTGGAGATGTGGACTGATTAAAAATAATGGGTTACTCAAGCATGTGAATGAAACAAAACACATCTCCAGGTATGTTTTTGAGGAGGTAATAACATTATAAAATGGCTTAAAGGTTGTATGGACAATTTTTTTGTTTCAAATTGTCAATGAAAGTTTAAAATACCATTACAGAGATGCAGCAGCCTTGTAATTATGATGACCAAAAAAAAAAAAGAAAGAATGAAAATCTATCAACTGTGGACATAATGAGGGCAGATAAACATCAGCCAATAGAAAACAAGGCTACCTCATTTTCTATTGGCTGTTCGGTTGTCAACCAAACTCCCTGTGTTTTTAGTGTAATTGACTCAGTTTATGCAGCGGTTCTTAGAGGCTTTTTTAAACTGTAGCTTCCTCGCAGTTCGCACAAAGTTTGTTGCAATGGCAGACGAGAATCCACGACCAGTTCACCGCAAAAGAAAGTCCTTTTTTGCGATCGCTGAAAGAAGAAGAGAAGAAGGGGGAAAGGAGCGAGGCCAAACTGAGGTGATTATTGGAGATCTCTTCCAGCGATTGCGCAACTGAAGCAGACAAAGGTTCTAAAAACTGACGCTTCGGTCGCTAAATTTTTTCTAGACAGGTCACTTCAACTGTAATTCTGAACGCGCACTGCCTGTAAACAAATGTGATTTCTAGAGTAAGGAAAGGAGTCGGGAGGAGATGTTTCTACTACAACATTTGAAAACGGACTGTCGCTGTATTTCTCTTCCCTTAAAAATCCTCTATACAACCTTTAAACCTCACAAGAGTCCATTCTATGTAATAACTTTTTAGAGAAAGTGTATACCTTCCTAAATTCAAGATGAAAATGTGGTTTATTCTTTCACTATCAAATGCAGCTTCATATTTTGTCTTCATGTTTTCGCTGTTTGCGCTGTCACGTCTCTCGTTGTGTTTCTCGACAGCTGACCGCATCCCGACCGTACCCTCATATCATCGCCATGGCAGCCGAGCCCTCCCTCACCAGCGGGGACAGTCTGGACCTAATAGAGGCACCCGTGGGTCCACTGAGTCAGATCGCACAAACTCAAGTAATGTCACATTCTTCAACTTTCATCTCCTCCTCCTCCTCCTCCATGACCTCCTCGTCCATGACCTCCTCCAAACTCAGGAAAGTCTCACAAGGATTAATGAAAAGCATGGATGGTATGTAAGCGTCGCTGTAAGTTGTCCCAAAAAAAAGGCTATATATAGATAGATAAATGTTCTATAGCTACATGTAGCCTGTATTAAAATGTAGGCAAAGGAAAACTTAATCACTATTTATCCAAATGTTACAGTAGAAATTTGTTTAAAATTATGATACACATAAATACAGTAACATGAAAAAATAAATAAATCAAACAAAACCATTTAATTCTATAGATACACAGCAAAAATTGGAGTGTTAAAATTGCCTCTCACAGAATCAATTTTAACATTTTCTCAGGGTTTATAAGAGTCTAATCTGTTCTAGAGTTAATTTAACCTTTTTTGGAAATGTTAATTAAGTAACACTGGACCAAAGTTCCCATTTAACCCCAAAATCAAGAGTTATATGAATGTTTTGAGAGTAAACAGATAACACTTTGTAGAGTTATCCTGATGTAGCTAAACAACTCACAGAGGTGTTTTATTTTTACACTTTATTTTAGTTCATTTAAGATGAAATAATGTAAAAACTGGTTCAAACTGGTCTTCTCTCGTGGGAGTTTGAAGTGGTGGGTGGGAGATGACAAATTAACACTAAGGGAAGTTGAATTAACACTTGGGGAAGTTGAATTAACTTCAATCATATCAACTCTGGCAAATAACCCCAACTTGAACCGCCATTTAACTTTCAAATAGTTAAAATCACACTTTTTGAGTTAAAAACAACTCTTTGCTGTGTACTTTGCAGCTGTTGTCATTAAGATTCCCTGAGGCTGTGATACTAATTGTTGGTGTACTCTGTCTGAGACTTTGTTAGGCTTTAACCTGAGCTTTATTTCAACACAATCTGACCAGAAAGAACAGGCTTAGCAGGAACTACCACTACTACAACTTTTTGAGTGTTCCTCTCAAAAATAAACTTCACAGTCACTTTAAGCCAAGCTTTCACGCTCAACAATTTGTTAAAAATTAAACGTGTTAACTGGATCATGAACGTTCGTACTGGTCACAGGCTCCTGTTTACTAATGAGTGCTTTGTCTCACCATGGTAACTAATACACATGCAGGTAGAACACCCCCAGTACAATGTCACCTGCAAACTATCAATGCAGACTAATAAAATAAAGGTTTCAAGTCATTTTTTAAATAGTTTTGTTTATTGATTAAACCGCTTTATCACACTGCATTAAAAATGTATATGACTTCTATTAGCGTCCGTATATATGACAGTCCTCTCTCCCGCAGAGCACTCTGTGGTCCACCGGAAATCCTCAGCGGTGGTGGAGACTTACAGCCAGGTTCAGAAGTCTGCCCACATCCCCAAGGGAGAGTCTGTCCCAGATTTTGAGGAGAAACTGCGTCCTGTTACTGCACAAGAAGGTGAGGTGAACCATCCTTTTATCTCACCAGCCCCCGACAATACATGACATTTCTTTAGTGCACTTCACGGTTTATTTTTAACATTTCTTCAGTTGGAACATGGGTGAAAAAGTTAAAGTCTTTTTGAAGTAAATGTAACACTTATTTTAAATGTATATGCTCTCATCTTCCAACCAGTGTCACTTCAAAGGCAGTTTAAGCTTGAGCAAAGATCACATGGCTGTAGCTATCGTCACTTGCCTCGGATCCAGAACACCCTCTTCTCCAGTGCTTTATGAACATGTAATTCAGGACTTGACAGGCAATATCCACACCGCTGTTATATTAAATGGCTCAGATAACGCAATTCTGTGATCTGCGTATATTATAATATTGTTTCCTCATCACAATCATACCTGGAGTTGTGTTTTGTTTCATGTACACATTATGTATTAAAACACTCTGTTCCACCTTCTGATGCGTTTTTAAACTCCATACACCTTCACTAGAATCATTTGAACAATTTCAGCTCGGGAAATGCTTATCTTAAGTTAACAGCGACCTTTTACCTTTTGTTCTGCAAACGGTGGAACAGAGTATTTTGAGATTTGGAGATGAGATGTAGATATGATAATACAGGATTTCTCAAACGTGTGAATGAAGCAAAACACAACTCCAGGTATGTTTTTGAAGACCTAATAGCGCATTATTATAATTACCGTAACACTTTATAATAACTACACCTTACTTAGCCTTAATAAACCATGAACAAAGACTTAATTAATAATGATTCACACTTAGTAAATGCTTAATAAAGGATAATTAGTCTTCACTTTAGAAAAGCTCTCAAAAAGGCTTAACTAACAGATAACAGCTGCCTGAATTATCGCTGCATTGCATTATTAGTAAATCATTCTCTCATAGCTTATTAATGATTAATAAATGCTCAAATGGTTAGTTCATGAGTAATTAAGTATTAAATAATTATGAGTAACTATTTACAGCACAGGCAAATTAAGTGCAAGTGCTAATTAAGGTAGTAATTAAGTAGTTACTACGTGTAGGAGAAAATGCGATTTAACGTGTGGTAAGATGTGCGTGTTTGAGCATGTGGTTTAGCTTTTGACGAATTATTGAAATGATACATTTGCGGGGCACCAGATTCTGACCGAATCAAACTTAACCATATGCGACAACAACAACTTATCAATTTTATCAATCCGAAGGGAACGTACCCGAAAAAGTGACCTGATGATAACTTTAAGAAAAATCACTGAAACCAGCAAATTCCTTTGTGTGGTTTATTAGCAAACAATAACTAGACACCAGCTTCCAAGTTCTGGTTACGTAACATTAAAGCACCGATTTTAACAACCTGAGGTAGTTATAAAACGGGGTTCAGTTTAGCTCAGTTATGGCGTTTCGCTAAGTCGCTACTGCGCTTGCCTTAGGAATAATTGGACGCAATCGTAAGAGGGATGCCAACCCTTATTCATTCACTGTTCACAACCAGCCTTACTTGGCGATGTTGTTCTCGGTCCGTGTGGAATGCGGCGATGGCGGGGTTCGGCGGTGGTCGCACGCACGGGCAGGCAGCGGCGTGATGATGGTACTCGGGCAGGGCGGTCCACGCCTCCTTCACCGGCTCTGGTCCTCAGCTCTCGGCAGGTGCGACTCCAGGTCTGTTACAGCTCCCCCTGGGTCTCTCCGACCGGCCGTCTTCCCTGGTCCTCTTCGGCGGGTCCTCGCGGCGGCGAGGCAAGGCGAAGAGCGAAGAAAGGCGAAGCGAAGCGAAAGCGCGAAGCGAAAGTTTTCGCGCGTGAGGCTTCGTTTTGGTCAGTGCGCTTGGTGGGCGTTGTTATATGCAAATTTAAGGCACGCCCGCGTCTGAGCTGAACTGGTCCCCGTACAAATATCATTTGCAAATATTAAATTGATAACTTCCCACATTCAGGTACTAACTGTTTACGATAACATTAGCCGACGATTCATACAAAGAAATCAAAAGTATATCTGTCTGAAAACACGCCGTGAAGTTACCGTAAATACTTCCGGAACATGACATGAAATACACACAAGAGACTATGAACACATGAATTAAGCAATGTGGCATACTTGTCTTGTATCAACATGAGCCTTATATAGAACACAGTTAAAACATTTTTAACTAGTTATCGAGATGCGTTTAATCCAGTCCTTCTCTAGTGTCCAAAAGTGGCAACCACAGTCCATCGCGGTTTTAACCGGTCCAAGCATTGGCGCCTTATGGTCCGGTATGTAGATGATGTGGGTCTGTTTCTTCAAAGCAAAATGAGGAATGTCATTATTTAACAGTCCTTATCACTTTAGCAGAGCCATGTCAATTTCCCATTCTGATTCATGTCCCACTTGGCGTGGGGGAAGAGAGGTGTGGAAGCACCGAAGATCGGTTCTCTTGGGGATGTAAATACCAAGAGGCAGTCAGGCAGAACCGACTTCTCTAGGTTCCTGGTTTGTGGATTCTGTCAGAATGGGGGGAGCAGGCCCTGAACAAGCATCTTTCCCTACATAAGCGTGAATCATTATTAATTAAGTCTTTGTTCATTATTAATTAAGCCTTTGTTCATGCTTTATTAAAGCTAAATAAGGTGTATTTTTTGTCTTGTCTGTTTGTTGTACCAAAAACTGAATCTGTAGCTTGATCATTTTTGTAATACAGTGACTTTGTTTAATTTTGGAAAAGGAGAAAGGGGACTATAATTGACGTGCTATGTCAGTGTACAATATATTTTGTTCCTTTGTTAACTTTAATGAAAAAAAAAAAAAAAAAAAAAGAATCTGTCAAGCCATTAAATTAATCACACTTTGGTGATGGATCCCATATTATAAAAGCTTGCCCAGCTTCTTTGGGTGTCCATGTCTTTTTTTCACAGTTTTCACATATTATTATATACGTATACATATATTTACATACGTATTAGTGTGTGCCTTCTGTGAGATTAAAATTTAAAACTGTGGAAAGCTAAAATTTAACATTATAACATGGTTCAGAGCTCATAATTTTGCATAATACAGGATAAGTATTTAGTTATTTTTCCTATAGTACACTAAAAGGTGGAGTAATAATGGTTCTATCTAGAGACTGTTAACATGTAACAAATACATCTCTAAATAATTAAAACTACAGTATGCCTTTTACCAGGGGGCCTGTACTATGTCAATGTTTTGGGTTTTTTCTTCACAGGTGATAATGCAGTATTCCGGGCGAAGGTGACCGGACAGCCTCAACCCTCTGTCCTCTGGGAGCGAGCCAGCGGGACCCCATTGTCTGACGAGACCATAAGTTTTTATGAAGACTTCAACAATCAGCATATTCTCAAGGTGCCAGAACTTTTTTTTTTTTTACTCTACCGCTACATCAGATATTAGGAAAATAATCAAAGCAAAGTAATAGTCAGCTGGTAGTTTTTACATAACAGTGCAAATTACTTTAGTTGAGTAGTTCCTTTAGAGTTCAGTAATATTGTTTTGAAGTGAAGTTACTCCTAATCACTTCATCAAAAACATACCTGGAGTTGTGATTTGTTTCATTAACTCACAAACTCTCCATATTTAGGCTCCATCTTGTCATATCAGGAAGTGCTCCACTATGTTTTTAAACTCCACACACCTTCACTAGAATCATTTGGATAATTTCAGTCCTGGAATTTCCAATCTCTACTAAACACAAGGTAAAAGGCAGCTGTGAATTTGAAAACCACCACTTCATGACATCACAAGGTGGAACAGAGCAATTTGAGCTTTGGAGATGTGGACAAGTGAATAATAAAGACTTACTCAATCATGTGTGAATGAAACAAAACACAATTCCAGGTATGTTTTTGAGGAAGTAACAAGATTAAATGTTATAATTGTAATACAGGACCTTGAAATGATACTGTCTAATTAAAAAGAGTTTATTGGCATTATCCAGCTTTATTGCTTTTGTGTCAGTGCCATAAAGTAGTTTCAGTAATATTTTTATCATTATATAGCTCCATAGCAATAGGCGAGTTTCATTGTTGACAAAAGCGCGCGTTGCATGCTGGGAATTATTTTGGTCGGCAGCAAGAAACACTAATTCAACATGACGGACGGAGTGAGAAAGCACGTAAAGGGTATTGATCCCGGTTATTTATCCACTCTAACAGCAGAGGACCGAAGATGATTTGACCAGAAATTGGTCATAAGCATCGATGGAGCCAAATCACTCTTTTCAACCCCTACAAAGCCTGGACCAAACCAAATTTCTGGTCAGAATCGCCAACTACCTGGACAAACATTCACTTCAGCGATATCCACAATGACTTGGTGGAAACTCCTGGGCCATTCACAGCAGAAAAGATGAAAACCTCCAAGAGTCTCGATGTGTTGTTGAACTTGTTGGAGTCCACGGTTTGCTAGGATCTTCTACGTTTGCTCTGCGAATGTTTGAAAGCCGTTTAATTCACCTTTGGCGGTTCTTTTCACTCGGAATACGAAAAAGAAAGCTTCTTCCGTGCTTCTATTTGTGCATCCGATAATGCAGCAGAATTTACCATTATCGGGGATAAATACGCGAGGTTACGCACTGTGTTTGACCGCTATCGTGTTTCTTGCCTCCGACCAAAATATTTCCCAGCATGCAACGTGAGCTTTTAATAACAATGACGTCAGCTGAAACTTCAAAATTTGTTAAAGTGACCGGCCGAACTACACTTCATTAAATGTATTTACACTAGGGGTGTAACAATATCCATGTCTCACGATACAATATCGTCACGGTATGAACCTCATGGCACGATATTTATTGCGATATCATGGGAAAGCTCACGATATGGTGGGGAGGCTCACGATTAGGGATGGTAAATGGTCACATTTTTCTATAGCGCTTTTCCACCTTCAAGGCATTCAAAGCCTTATTTACAACAAGGAACCACTCACCCATTCATGCACACATTCACACAGACACTGTGGGCAAGGTGGGTTAAGTGGACATCACACCAGCCAACCTGTGGGTCAGTGGATCTGACCGCTCAACCTGCGATGTTTTTATGTCGAGAGTTGGATTCGAACCGCCAACCTTCAGATCAGTGGGCGAATGCTCCACCAACTGAGCTACTGCCGCCCATGCCGGGATGTAACAATATCCAAATTTCTCGGAACGATATTTATTGCGATATTTTGTGAAGCTAACAAAACTGTTAATATGCTACTTTTTCCTCTTAAAATGCCTTGACAAGACTTAATCCAAAGAACTAAGACTCAGAAGTGCTTAGAACTGTTTCTTCTTGTAGTCTGCACTGAAATAGAGCAAAGGATCATGGTCTATGTAGTTTCCTCTGTCTTTTTTAGTTATTGCTGCACCATAACTCTTAATTTAAGCAAAGAGCCTTGTAATTCAGTATATTGTGATGGTCCACGATATTATTGTGAGAACTTTGATGATACGATATCACGATATATCGGTTATTGTCACACCCCTAATTTGCACCTATGTGAACCTTAATCCATATAACAAGTGACACGTGAGAAAAAAGATAATTCTAATCAGCTAAAGGGGCACCCCAGGATAATAATGCAACTAACAACCAACAATGCAAGATTACTCAAACATGTGAATGAAACAAAACACAACTCTAGGTATGTTTTTGATGAGGTAACAACATTATAACATGGTTTAAAGTTCACGAGTCGTGTATCTTCTTTGCATTGGATTCAGTGGTACAGCTGTGTCACTCTTTAATGCACATCCAACATTGACATTTCCTGTAGAATAGACGGTATCCCATACATCACGTGGAAATAAGACAGAGGATCTCTTCTTTCTGATGCTTTCATTTATAACCAGTCATAGATTTAAAGCTTTCTCTGTACCAGCCGTGCAGCCTAAGTGAAGCTTAAATAGCTATTATAAAGCAATTAACTTGTGGGTGCTGACATATGAATCTTCCCTTACCATCTGCTTCTCTGTAAGGAATGACGTTAAATGTTTGTTGGAGACTTGCCAGAAGTACACTGCCCCGCTCTGTTCATTATGGGTACTGCATACATTATAGTGACAGTAAACTTAGACCAACTTTATTGATCCACAAGGGAAATTATTTGGCCACAGTAGCTCACATATCACAATATAATATAATAACACAGGCCAGCAATATAAATGGTAATAAAAATTCAATTCAAGTAGCAAAAATAGCAAGATCTGTGTAATTGTACAAATGTATGTGTACAAATAAAGATAAAACAAAGAAATATAGTAATACAAACTAGGGTTATATACAAAAGGTTGTAAGGAGAAATGGTGCAAAGATGAAAGAGTGACTGACATGACATGGGGTTATTTATTACATAAGGGAGATTCTTATTTATTTCTTATATATTTATTTGTAAAGGGGCAACACATATTAATTTAAAATGTAAATATGTAAAGATTATAGCAGCGTGACAAATTTCCATCTTCATTTTCTCGGCAGGTTGATGTGAAATCATCTACAGGACAGGGAAAAAGTACAGAAACAATCACACAAAAGTACATAACACCAGAACACTCACTATACATACAACACACTCACTGTACACTCATGATACATACAATTCATTTCAAACAGTTCATTTGAAGTTTGAAGTTACAAGTTAAAGAGTTAAACCAACAACCCCTCATTATAAAAAAACATGTTATCTGTTTAAACTTGGTGACATACTGTATTTGGCCATTGAACAACCGCTGTTTTAAAGCTTTAGAAAATGCTGCCAGTGTTGAAAGTTTAACCTGCTTGATAAGCAGTGTTGGGGAGTAACAGATTACATGTACCGACATTATGTAATCAGAGTACAAATTATGAGTAACTGTATTCAGTTACAGTTACTGTTTCAGTGAGTGGTAATTGGATTACAGTTACTTAAATAAATAAATGGATTACATGGTGGTATTTTCCTGTTTTTACATTTTGGCCAAAACCAGGTCTAAACCAGATCTAAATCAGGACTAAACCAGGCATAAACCAGTCCTAAACCATGTCTAAACCAGGTCTAAACCAGGACTAAACCAGGACTAAACCAGGTCTAAACCAGGACTAAACCAGGACTAAACCAGGTCTAAACCAGGTCTAAACCAGGTCTAAACCAGGACTAAACCAGGTCTAAACCAGGTCTAAACCAGGACTAAACCAGGTCTAAACCAGGTCTAAACCAGGACTAAACCAGGACTAAACCAGGACTAAACCAGGACTAAACCAGGTCTAAACCAGGTCTAAAACCAGGTCTAAAACAGGATTTAACAGGACTAAGCCATGTTGTGTGGACCGTGTCTCCTCTTCTTCTATCAATAATATTTTTAATTTGGTTGAGTAAAGTCTGGGCTTTTTATATTCTTTTAGCAGACAAAACCTCTTATGTGAAGATCCGAGTCTTTGCTTCTCTACAGCAAACCAAGTAATCCAAAGTATTCAGATTACGTTACTCACCTTAAGTAATTTAATCAATTACTTTACAAACTACATTTTGGGGTCTGTAATCTGTAATCTGTAGGGGAATACATTTTAAAAGTAACCTTCCCAACACTGTTGATAAGCAAAAGAGAGCTGTCCAAAAGCACTTTTTGTAAACGGCACAGAGCAATCACCTCTAGCTGTTGTTGTACAGTATGAATGTACACAGGTGGAATGTTTATATTTTGTTTTTCCAGGTTAAAAATCTCTCTCTGCAAGACGCTGATGTGTACAAATGTGTTGCCTCCAATGTTCACGGTGAAGCCATCTACTCTGTCTCACTGATTGTTACCGAAAGTAAGTTTAAAAATGCACTTCTGCACACTGCCTTTTAACTCCCGTTGATTTTCTTATCTGTTTTCTTAACCTAGTTTCATTGTGTTTACTTGTGTTTTACTCACATTTTTACGTTTGCACTGGCTGTTTCGAAATGTGCTATAGAAATAAATATTGACCTTGACTCTTGATGTTTGTGCATATATCTAGTGTGACAATGTTTCTCTTATTCTCAGATCCGGCTTTAGACTTGAAAAAGATGCTGAAGAAACGGTAGGAACCACAGAACATGCACACTCTACAATGCTCACAGATGTAAATTTGTGTTGTTGTTTATTTTAACAATGCATGTAATGTAGGTATCAAGTCAAAACTATGTGGACAGTAACATAATCTGGAGGCGTTTTTTATATATGATATGACTGTATGCAAGGACACAAAAATAGTACCCTGGAGAAGTCATTTACATGCAGTATATTATGTTAATTCCTTCAAAAGGCTGCCCACACTGTCTATCTGGGCTTAAGACTGATAGATATGAAATAGTACAATAATATATGCTTTCTGTGGCTAAGAGAATAGACTTTAAAGCAGCTCTGTTCATGTACAAGTCTCTCCATGACCGAGCACCAAAGTACATTTCTAACATGTTAGTGACATCTTAACCATTTCACACTCTGAGGACTTCAGAGATCAGCCTTTTGATAGTCCTGGATTAGTTCTGGTTTAGTTCTGGTTTTGTTCTTGTTTAGTCATGGTTTAGTTCCGCTTTAGTCATGGTTTTGTCCCGGCTTCGTGTTCCCAGTTTTAGGACTAAATATGCAGAATCAGCATTTCAGTTTTATGCCACTAAACCTGGAACAGTCTTCCTAAAGATGTGAGACAGTAGCCTGATTCATCAGCCGGTTTCACTTTGTGGAAACCATCTGACCTCGCAGCATTAAGATTCATTCACTCGTCGGTAGGCGGGTACTTTTTTTATTTAACCAATCGCTGCTATTTGGTCGTGACATATGTAATGAGCCTGCTAACGGGGCTAACTGGTATATTAAGCTTTTCCCAAATCCCGTAAGAAGAAGGGCAATAACGTCTTTCTCCTTGATAAAATTCACCAAACATTTTTGTTCCAAATTAAAATCCTCGATCTCGGGAATCATTGCCAACACGGAAAGTATAATCACTTGTTTACTGTTGTGCTGTTCTACAAAAGGGACCCAGATAGGCACTTGAGTTTGACATCATGGCTTCACAGTTCCTCGCAAACCATCTAGTGTATTCCAATTCCTGACCTAGTTACTGGAGAGAAATTAAATTGAGCGGAGGCAACCTGGCTAATGAGACAGGCGTCTACTTTGACAATGTTTAAATCCAGGCTCAAAGCACTTCTGTTTATCTCTGCATATGACTGAAAGGTTTTTATTGTATACTCTTCTCTTTTACTGTTTATTTATGTTTTGATTTGTTTGTATAGTGATTGTAATGTCTGTCTTATTCTGTAAAGCACTTTAATTACTCTGCGTACACTATACAAATACACTTTCCCTGCCTTGCCTTGCCTACATAATACTAATTAAAATGCATGTAGATTTGTGTAAATAAATCTATATCTGCACAGCTGCTTTTCCCTGATCTCTGGCCTTTTGCAGCTCTGTGGAGAAGAGAGAGGAGAAGAAACCACCCACAGAGGAGGAGATGCTGAAGATTCTGTCAGGAGCTGAAAAGAAAGACTACGAGAGGATCTGCGCCGAGCACGGTTTCACTGACTTCAGAGGGATCCTGAAGAAACTCAAGGAGATGAAGAAGAAAGTGGAGGTGGAGGTATGCCTGCCTCACGAAGAGCTGTTCATATAACACAGGATCAGAAGAGAAAAATAAGTTGAAGTATTATAAGTGTGAGAGAGACTAAAATAGAGCAGATAAGAAGGGTAATAAACTAGGTGTACTATGTAACTTTTCTTATGAAGCGCCTGCCACCTGCTTGTTTCCACTGAGATATTATTAATTGGCCTGAAATTACTCTCTCCCATAGACTGTAAAAGGGCATAGCTAACCTGCTAGGTGCCGTGTTCTAATTAGGAAGTGAGCATGGGGAGCGCTTTTGGCTCCATCATCTCCAATTCGCTCATTGAAAAACCGTCACCCCTCTCTCTGTAACTGCTGCTCAGGCTCCTCATTTTGGTCTTAAAATGTTTGTATTAACTCACTCTACCTGATCCTATTGTTTTTATTTTGTTATTTTCAGAAACAGAATCAAAATTTATTTGTCATTTCAATATAAAAAATACAGATAAACAAAACACTGCACTCAGGTCCAAGTCATCAGCAGCATAAACAACAATAAGCATAAATAGTTTAAGATATTGTATGTCAAATACAGTCTTTCAAACCCCCATTTTCCTAAGTGCTTTCCAAGTCAGTGCTATTCTGTAAGGTACATTTGTGTCAGGGTTATTTGACAGAATTGATCTGCCTAACGGCGCCAGGATTAAAACTGTTCCGGAGTCTGGTGGTCCTTGCCTGTAGATGGTGCATTCTTCTGCCTGATAGGAGAGCTGTAAAAAGTCCATGTACTGGATGGGTGAAGTGTGTCCTTGAGATATGAACATAAATAAACATAAAAGAATAAATGAACACGAAAAATCATTTTACAAGTCAAACCCATCTTGCGTTTGAAGGATTTGTGTCTGAGCAGCAGTAGAAAGCTTGGCGGCTGCGGACTGATATACAAGAAAATAGTCCCTCAACATGTGACGATTCATGTGATGCAAGGTTGGTTTTGTTTCTGACATTATTCTATCAACACAGACATCGACAGTCAACAGCGTAATAATAGATTTGCTTCAGGTGCTTTGTGGAGTGGGTAAGACTGTTTTTAGTGGCAGGATAACTATGACCATTGACATGCACCAGCCAAGCACCAGCGACCTCTGCAAATACAAGGACTGGAGGGAATATTTTAAAAAGTGTCTCTACACATTTCCAACACTCTGGCTCACTAGGAAATGAAGCCCTATGTCCAAAATTCCGAACTGTCCCTTTAATAACAGACAAATCAGGCATCTTCTTTTCCCAAGGTCACTCCCACTCGTGTTAGCAGCCTCGCTCCGAAGTGGCTCTTTAGTTGCTAAGATACTCACAGTCGGAATTCCAAATATGGCTCCAAATTCGCTTCTGTAACAACATGCCTCGATGAGCTTCATTTGACTGGAGCCAAAAGCTACAGGTGACGTTACACTTCCTTAGTCCACTTCTTTATACAGTCTGTGCTCTATTCACACATCCATCTCCATGACAATGAGCAGGTGACACCTTACAGAGCATATCTGTGAAGAGGCGAGCTTGCTCACACGAAGAATGCATGTTTTAAGGATTTCAAAACATCTGTGATTGTGTAAATGCGAGATTGAGTTGGTTTAATTCCATACTGTGGAGTCCCATAGCAGCACAGGTAGAACATGCATTTCCTGATAAAAAATAATAAATCAGTTTCATATATTTGTTGTTAGATGGTGCACGTATTGAAGCCTCTGGAAAATATCACAGCCAAAGCCGGTACCAACGCCGTCTTTGACACGATCTTGGAGCTGAAAGATCCAAATGTCAGGATGCAGTGGTTCCTGGTGAGATGTGTGGGTGTGTGCGTGTGTGGGTGGGTGGGTGTGTGTGTGTGTGTGGAAGGTCTACACAAGTCTTCTCATCTTTTTTATTTTATATCCAGGGCTCAGAGCTGCTGCGGACTCAGTATTCTCTGGGGAAGTATGAAGTCAAACAGATGGGAACCAAACACATGTTATGTATCTCCAGTGTCAGCCTCAGTGATATGGGCACATACGCTCTGCAGGTTGGAGACAAGAGGCTCACTGCCAGACTTCATGTCATAGGTAAGAGAAAAGGACAAAATAGCACCATGGTATTTTGGCAGACTAGGTTATAGGTTGCATTTATGTTGTAGAATTCGATGAAATCTGTGAGAGATTTACAGTTCTTGAAAATAACAACAAAACAAAAAATCACAAATGGGCTGAAAAACACTATATAAAAAACTAAATAAAAATGTGACCCTTTACCATTGATTCAAAAACTTTCCATTTCAATATTTTGTCTGGAGTAATTTTAACTTCAATGATCATATCTTTTGGGTTGAAGAATCTCACTTAAGTTGAGTAATGCTGACAGACAAGGACTTTACCATTTCAAGTTCATGTGAACAACCTCAGTAATTACAGACATAATAACCTTAAATCAGGTCAACAAATCTGAAATCTAAACGTTATTCTGGTGCAGATTGGCAGCCTTGTCTCCATCCCTTTACCTCAAGGCACCTACAATGGGAGTAGATGGATGGATTAGCCCTGTGCACTGTAAAACGTCTTTGAGTGTCCAACAAAGAATTTCTAAATATAATGAATGATAATAAAAAATAAATCATTATTATTTGTATTCTCAAATAATCTCATGTAACCATTATTTAAATTTAAATTGTCTCTGCAGATGAACCTCTGAAATTTCTATCTGACTTCAAGCCGAAGAAAGTGACTGAAAGGCAGACTGCTGTGTTTGAGGTACGCCTCTCTAAGAAGACGGACGCTCCTCTGATTTGGAAGGTTAGTATCAGATGTGTAAAAGCTATTATAAAAAGTTTTAAAGGTCCTATTTTACACCACAAGGAGTCTTTAAGCCATGTTACCTCTGAGGGGTGAACGATATGTCCATATTTAAAATATATCGAGATATTTCTTTAACTCTGTATGGATTCTGACATATTATATATATCGACATAATGCTTATTATTTAATTCTGATTTCGCCGCTTGGTTTTCTCTGTGCTCGCCCCCACACGCCACTGCCTCTTTGCTGTGAGCAGCAGACATGAGTCTACTGCTGTGAATGCCGAAAGTTGGTGCCAAAGAAAGTTTCTAGCACTACGAACCATTTCCACCATTTACAGACAAGGCCATCAGCAGCACATCCTCTGTCACAGACAGAACACTCATATTCCACTGAGTCATGTCCTTTAGTCTGACAGCGCTTACAGTTGATGCAAATTAGACATGTGCTGCCAAGTTTCGTTTCTGTAAATCATAAACAAATGTGAGCAAAACTGCATTAAACACATTTTAATCTCAAACCAGCTGATGTGGTTCTATAGTCGTTATGATTTATATGTTGTAGTAATGTAAAGATTATTTATGCAGAAGATTTTAATTGATAATCTGCTGCTGGTTTAATCTGCATTGGATTGTGGAATACTTCATAATTATTTTTCAGGGTTATTTGTCCTCTACAGATATCTCTATATATCTCGATATATTTTGCTATATCTGGATATATGATATATATTGTTTGCTCCATATCGCCCAGCCCTATTACCTCCCCAAAAATATACTGGGAGTTGTGTTTTGTTTCATTCACACATGTTTGAGTAATCCTTTTATTATTAGTCCGTGTACATCTCCAAAGTGTCATGTCATGAAGTGGTAGTTTTCAAGTTAACAGCTACCTTTCATTTTTTGTTCAGTAGAGATTGGCATTTCCAGGCCTGAAATCATCCAAATGATTCTAGTGAAGGTGTATGGACTTTAAAAACACAGTGGAGCACTTGTTGACAGAGAGAAGAACTCAACTTAAATATGCAGAGTTGGTGTGTAATATGGGCCCTTTAAAAAAACAATATACAGAGAAATCCATTACTATTCGTGTACTGTGCAAGATAGTGGAAAATAACATTCAGGAGACAAAAGGGAGATGGTTTTCTCAGATGTACTTGTTCTTTTGCAGGTCAAAGATAAGGAACTGAAGCGAGATGAGAAGTTTGATGTGTCACTGTCTGAAGATGGTTTGACCTACACACTGAAGATTAAAGATGTCAAAGTCAGCGATACCGGAGACTACACCATCAGCATAGGGGACCTCACTGCCACTGTCCCACTATTCATCGAACGTACTGTATCTCATTGCAAACAAACTACTTTATTGTTTTGTTCTTTCCATAAGCTTGCCTTTTTTCTTTACTTTTTTTTTTTTCTGCGTTAGACTTCAAACAGATGAGTAGCTACTGTGTTAAGTCCCCCAGACACAAGAAAATCTATTACTTCACAGCTACAACTAATCTGAAGCCCATCTCAAATGAAGATCTATGGCCATCATTATAATTCTCCTTTCTTGTGCTGGAAGTTGAAAGTGATCCAGCGAAATCCCACCACACAAAGAGCTAATTTACTAACAAGCCCAAGGAGCAGGCTGGGGCATGGACACTGGGATGTCTTCAGTCTTCTGGGGCTGGAGCAATAGAGGCCGTAATTGAGGCTGTGCTAATAATAGTTATTCATGACTACGGTTTTATGAGTGAAAAAGGCTTTTTATTTGTCCTCAACAGGGTCCTACAATAACAAATAACTCATGAGGAAAGTAATTACCCTCATACACTATTGACGTCTTATTGCACTTTTCAAGCTTGAATACTAAGGATCTTCATTTACTCCATACTCAGTGGTCATCAGCTGGGTAGGTGTAGTGTCTTGCCTAAGGGCACAACAGCAGCATTCACTGGTGGGATTGAACTGTTGGAAGAGTCATTTGAACCATACCAGCTTGTCGAAGCCTGATCTCATTAGACCTCAGAAGCTAAGTAGGGCCGGGTCTGGTTAGTATTTGGATGGGAGACCGCTGGGAATATCAGGTGCCACATTGGGGTAGTCTGATTCATCAGCTGCTTTCACTTTGTGGAAACTGTTTGACCTCGTAGCATTAGTATTTGTTCGCTCGATGTTAGGTGGGTACTTTTTTTATTTAACCAATCGCTGCTATTTGGTCATGACGTATGTAATGTGACAAATCCCATAGGAAGAAGGGAAATAATGTCTTTCCTCTTGATAACTTTCTATTTGTTCCGGCTATAAATCTTTGATCTCGGGAATCGTTGCAAACACAGAATGTATGGCTTTGTCTACATCCATCTCGACCGCTTTGTTTACAGTTGTGCTGTACCACAAAAGGGACCCAGACACAGCTTCACAGGTCTTCGCTGATTGGCCGGAGCTCGGTCTACAACTTCCAGGGTTTCTGCAAACCGTCTGGTGCATTCCGATTCCTGACCTAGTCACAGGAGAGAAATGAAATTGAGTGGAGGCACTAGGTGGTACCAGCCTGGGTAACACTGGGGAGCCAGTGACAAAAAAATACTGTTGGGTCCTTAAGCAATGTGGGTACTTTGCCTAGTATGAATAGGGTGTTGCCTCAAATTGGCAGCCTTGTTTATGTCTGCCTGCCCCAGTGCATCTGTGGCTACTATAGTATCACCTGAGTGTGGAGTGAATGAAGACTGCTCTGTAAAGCACTCTGAGTATCTTGAAAGGTGCTATATAAATCCAGTGGTTAATTAGTTTGAACCACTGTCACCCTTATTAAAAATTAAAATTTAAATACTGAATTTAAAGACTGGTAAACTGACAACATACACACTGAGGAGGGTTTAAGGCCCAAAGAGGATTGCCATCTATACATGAGCTTGCACAAAAATTGAGGCCCATTTTGCTTTTTTTAATATTTCACTTATGAAACATTGCTTTTATTAATAACATATTGTAATAAATAAATAAAAAAACACCTAAAATACTTTAATTATTCTGTTTTTAAGGAATTCCCATCAAGTTCAGTAGCTCCTTGAAAAACGTGCGTGTGCAGGAGAGAGGAAAGGCTCGTCTGGAGTGTGAGCTCACCTCCAAAGACGTGCAGATCCGCTGGCTCAAAGACGGGAGCGACGTCACCGCCAGCCGCCGCTACATTTTTGTGCACGAGGGAAAGCGAGCGGAGGCCATTATAGAAGACTGTGAACTGACGGACGCCGGAGAATACACCATAATGTGCACTCAAGACAATGACGAGCACGAGTACTTCTCTACTGCCATTCTGACTGTTGATGGTGAGCTGGATTTTTTTTTTTTCTCCACTTTGCAGCTAATGTCATGAACTTTCCCTGAGGGTGTGATGCATCCTGAGGGCACTACTCTGTCTGAGGCTTTGTTAGACTTTAATCTGAGGTTTATTTTAGCACAATCTGACCAGAAACAGAAACTGAACCAACAGACTTTTTAGAATAATTTGTTCAGACTGTTCTGTTCTCTACTCCTCCAGAGCGTTTTGCGTCAGTGAAGAGTGGGATGTCTGATGCCCAGTGTCCGTCAGGTTCTTCTGCAGAGCTGTGTGTGGTTCTAGATGATGAGAAAGTGGATGGGATTTGGCTAAAGGATGGAAAAGAGGTATGAAACATTTTGGTAGAATTTGATTACGCTTAAAGGGCCCATATTATGATATTTATATTTCTGATCTACATTAAAATGTTGTTCCCTCGTGACAAACATGCCTTAGTTGTGTTTTGTTTCTTTCACACATGTTTAACACACCAACCCTGAAAATTTGAGAGTTTTTCTCTCAAATGGAAAACACTCTGTTCCACCTTTTGATGTCATGTTATGGAAGTGCTCCACTGTGAACACCTTTACTAGAATCATTTAAATCAGGGATCTCCAACGTTTTGCATCCGGTGAGCTCCCTTTACAAAATGAAAATGCCGGAGAGCCACTCATTTTAGCGATCTCCAGGAAATTAAGTGGATATAAGAGGGTGAGCCTTAGTGTTGTACAGTTAGATGCCTTTAAACACTGAACCACTATTCATGTATTAGGACACAAAATAACACATTTACAATGGTAATTCATCAAATTTGAGTTATTGAGTATATCAGTATAATTCAGAAATCCCTTGGCGAGCTACTTGTAAGCGGGTGGAGAGCTACTGATAACTCCCAAGCTACATGTTGGAGACCCCTGATTTAGATGTTTTCAGCCAGGGAATTGCCAATCTCTACTGAACTAAAGGTAAACGTAGCTGTTAACTTGAAAACTACCGCTTCATGACATCACAACGTGGAACAGAGAATTTTGAGCTTTGGAGATGTAGACAGACTAATAATAAAGGATTACTCAAACATGTGTGAATGAAACACAACTCCAGGTGTGTTTTTGATGAGGTAACATCATTCTAACATGTCTTAAGTCACAAGAATCCATTTTGTGTACTGTGAAACCTTTAATGGTAAACTGGTAACATTTTATAATAAGTAATTGGCAGACTTGAGTCACTATTTTCAGGACTTGAGACTTGACTTGATAAAATTAACCAAGACATGGAACTTGACTTGGACTTGGAGGTCAGTGACTTGGGAAGACTTGATCCTTTTCCTAAAAAATATGTTTTTAGAAAATACTTGTCTCTTTACAGTTGATAAATGTGGCGCTGAATTTTACAGGAACAAGCTGGAGTATGTCCGTCCCACTACTGTATTTGTTACTTTGGATGTAACTGAAGTACTGTGATACCCTCAAATGTACTACAGTAAAATACAGTACAATACAGTCAAACAGAGAGGACGACAAAGACCATGATCCTTCCATTTCAGTGCAGACCACATGAGAAAATAACTGTTATTAACCGCTTTTAAATCTTAATTATTTCTATTCTGACTGTAATGATTCACACTAAGATCTTGTCAAGACATTTAAAAAGGAAAAATGTGCTTTTCTACAACTCTTAAATAAATACTCATATATAAATATACCATGACTTTTTAAGTACAGTTTAGTTTAAAATTAATATAAATTACAAAAATCTAGGTTTAAAAACTTGAAATTACTTGAAGCTCAAAGAAGACAACTTGGACTTATGGGCCAGTGACTCAAGACTCCACTTGGACTTGTCTGTATTTGACTTGGGACTTGACTTGGACTTGAGCTCAAAGACTTAAGACCTACTTGAGACTTGCAATACGACGACTTGGTCCCACCTCTGGCTAAGACCCATGCATTCATAAATAATATTTCTTTAGCTCATTTGCCAACATTGCCAACATTACATTTATTTACATATCAGCATAATTCATGGTTTGGTCTTTTTCTTTCAGATTTCCGAGCAAAGTGGGGTGCAGGTGGTTAAGCAGGGGGCTGTCCACAAGCTGCTCTTCTCTGGTGTGACTGATGCACATGAAGGGAAGTACACGTTTAAAGCCAAAGGAGCAGAGAGCGAGGCTGTGCTGAGCATCGCAGGTAAGAGACTGTTTGTGGGGGATTTATTACTTTATAGGATGCCAAAAATCTGGACCACAGTATTAGATCAACAACATCAGTGGTTTGAGTTTAGGTTAAAGGTCCTACATTACCTCCTCAAAGACAAACCTGGAGTTGTGTTTTGTTTTATTCACACATGTTTGAGTAACTCTTTATTATTAGTCTGTCTACATCTACAAAGCTCAAAATGCTCCACCTTGTAATGTCATGAAGCAGTAGTTTTCAAGTTAACAGCTTCTTTTTACTTTTTTCTTTAGCTCAAATTGGAAATTCCAGGAGTGTTTTCTGTTTGAAAGGATTACTAAGCCAAAATATGCAAAATTTCTGTGTTAAACATGTGAATGAAACAAAATTCCATGTATCTTTTTGATGGGGAAACAGTATTACAACATAGATCAGAAAATAGTGAAATATGGACAAGGTTAGGATCAAGAATTCAAGTCCAGTAAAGTCTCCAAAAAGCACTGAAACCCAATGTGTGTGTGTTTTTAAACCACCTGGAAGCTAAATATAATCTTACATTGATCTATCACAGATCCTCCTGAAATTGACAGCTCGGTTCTGGACATGTTGGGGGCCCAGCCTGTTACGGTGAAGGCAGGTCAGACCGCAACCATTAAAATCCCCTTTATAGGCAAACCTCTGCCGAAGGTCACATGGTACAAAGATGGAGTAGAGGTCGTGGAGGACGAGAGGACGAAAATAGAGAGATCTGCTGATGGCACGACTCTTGTACTCACCAGGTGGTTATAATAATACCCCTGATGCCTTAATCTGTTACATAATTCTTGTTTTTAATGCTGAGATTGTTTTATCAGATGTGTGAGAGAGGACAGCGGGGCAATGATGTTACGCCTCAAGAGCGACTGTGGCACTGCTGTTGCCAATCTGCACCTCAACGTGATCGGTAGGTTTTTAAGAAGACATTATGATCTTTCTGGTATTTAGTAATAAACTATGATGCACTAGGATGCACCGAGACTGATATCGAATATCGGCACCTATAATGAAACAGTGTCTGGATCTGCTTACCAGTTCCATGATATCAGTCACGCCGATATCGCAGGGGTGTCCAAAATTTTTTGACCGAGGGCCCCATATCTAAACATATTTGAAGCGGAGGACAACAAATTGGTGGTCATACAGTGAGTCATTTAACATAGCTACTCCAAAGACACTGGCCCTTTAATTTGGCTTAGACATTTAATTTGAGGTCTGTATCACACTCCATGTGGTGTTATTGAATGTTTAGAGTAGAATTACTTAAATTTGCAGTAAATGTTCTGCTTGTAATCATTTGGGCCATTTCAGCAGGAGGCCTCGGGGCCCAAACATATTGCTCTGAGGGTCACATTTGGTCCCTGGGCCATACTGCCCTACAAAGACAAAAGATCTTAACTCTCCAGAGTGTGAAACTGAGAAAAATGACTTCAAAGTTTCTGTTTTGTCTAGACAAAAGTATAATAGGTAGGGCTCCCAAAATTTGACAACTAGTTGCTATAATGAAGAAATATTTGTGTGCGAAAAATAATAAAATATTGAGCTCAAAATTGACCTTTGACCCTTATTTGTCAGTTCCTGTATTCTGCCATTGTATTTGCCTTAGGTAAAAAATAAAGAGTCGTGCAAAGGCAAAAGGCAGAACCTGACATGACCATTATTATTTGCTTGATTTTCACCAGACTTCCATCCATTATAAGAACACCTCACCAAGGTCGGGTCATCATGGCGTTTGTTTGAAATGACATAGAAGAGCTTTAGGTTTTCTGTTTAGTGCTGATCAGGATCGTGCGGCGACACTTATGCAGTTTAACACTTTGACAGACAAGTGACTTAGCAGTATAGTATGTACAGTATGAATAAATGCACTAAATGCTTTCACATTAAACATAATTGAAGTATAATTGAATACAAAGGTATATTTATTTAATGTGTTAAGACCCTGTGCCAAGGCCGCAACAAAAAGAAGGAGGCAAAAAACATAAAAACATACCCCCAGACTGAAATGAACTAATTTTTGACCGAACATGATGCTACGGTGTTCTGTCTTTGTAGGGAAGCATAGTTTGGACAACCCTGTGATATTGTGATTAGACCTTTAATTGGATGTAAAAAGACTATTTACAGGCAGATTTTTCATCTCATAATCTCTGAACTTTTATTCATTCAAAACAGTTCAGTTGTGATTTGAAGGATAATTAACAGCTGCATAACTCAATTCTATCTCTCTAAGTGAACTGTGTTTTTAGGAAATAAATGCTATTTTCCCTCCCTACGCTGGTATCAGTTAGTAGGTCTGCAGATACTTAAAGCATTGATATCAAAACGAGAAAGATGGGTTGATCCATCTCTATAATAAAGTATAACATACGTAGATAATAAGTTTACATTTTGTTTACTGTAAATGAAATATTGACCTATAATGGCTTAAACTAAAATATTGGTCTAAAGCAATTTCAACAGGCCACTGACTTCGTTCGTTCTGTTCGTCAAAAATGGCTTTGCAACATTTTTAATCCTATACAGGCTGTGTGACTCAGAGGTGTCAAGTACAGAGGTGTGGGTGGGGTAAATTATAAAGAAAACAGACGGACAACTTAAACATGCATAAATCAATCAAAATACAGCTTTGACTGAGCCTGTGTCGAGACAAAACATCATAACAGTTAAAAGCTATATTTTACATAATAAGTCTCCTTTAAAGGTGCATTGTGTAACTTTTCTGGTGGAGGGTCTGTCACCTTGTTTCTGTGGATGTGTCATGGCTCTACCTAAAATGTCCACAACATGACAATACACAGTTTTACCTTAAATTTATTCAATTACAAGTGGTTTTACTTCTTAAAAACACTGAGAAAAACAGGCATTCTCATTGTGAGCGAGGGTGCCACTCCACAGATCTGACCTGGAACTTGGTCTGGTTTGGTCTCCATGAATATAGAAAGATTTAATGCCCTTCCAGATACACCATGACATTGCCATGGATAAAAGCATTTGACGGACTCCCTACCAGAAGTTATGAAGAAGAAGATGCACCTTTAAACACAAAACATTGAATTCTTTTTTCAGACCGCCCTAAGGCTCCACAAGGAAAAGCCGAGTTCCTTGAGATGTCTAGAAAATGCATTAAGATGAAGTGGAAGGCTCCCCGGGATAATGGAGGCAAACAGGTGACGAGCTTCCTCATTGAGCGACGGCCAACGGGTAAGAAGTCCTGGGACAGCGTGGGCGAAGTGAAGAGCAGCACCACCGTCTTCACTGACGATACCGTGTCTGAGGGCGAGGCCTATCAGTATCGCATCAGGGCAGTGAACGAAGAGGGCACGAGTGAGCCGCTGGAGACCGAGGATGTCAGAGCTGGAGAACCTATAGGTAAAACTATTTGTATATGCGTTTCTTCTAACTAGCACATATGGTTTTGCCTGGAATTTTAATATCTCAAAAAACCCAAAACATACTAGACATACATACATAGATTTAGCGAAGCTGCCAATCTGCACCATCGGCCCTCTGACCACCAATAACACTCTCACACACACCGTTCATACTAAGCAATGTGGGTGTCTTGCCTAAGGACATTTTTGACATGGGCACCCTGTGACGCCCCCTAAGGTTGTGGAAGACCAAAGAGCTACGGACAACAGAGTTCAGTTTTAAGAGTGTTATTTACAGTAATCTAGCAGTTTCTGTATAAATGGGGAATCGACATGTCCAGGAGTGAGGAAGTCGGTTAAAAGGTTTGTTAAAAAGGTTGTTAGGAGCTTGTCCAGAGGTCCAGACTTTTGGTCGGGCCAGCATGGCTCTGTGGCAGGAAATCGACAGCCGGTGTGGCGCCATGGCCCCAGAGTGCCCCAGTTTCACCCACGGAGTGGGCGACAAGTCTTAAGACTGCCTGGAGACCTCATCTGGACAGAGAGACAAACAGGGTGTGAGAGAGAAACAGTCAGACATTCAGTTAAAACAACAAAATGAAATCCAGTCAACATTCAATCTAAAATTAGCATCCCCTTAACATTTACAATGAATCCCGTAAGTGCAATGTGTGAGCTGCTTCCTATTGACCTGGACAGAGAGACAACAGGGTGAGAGAGAGTGTGGGGGGAAGGTTCACAGGGTTTTTAAACAATAAGCACCACCCCTTTCCAACTGCCAATTACATGGCCATTGGCCCACACCAAAGAGGGAAAAAAAATGCACTAAGAGAAAAACCACACCCTTTTAAAGTGGAACGATATTCTGTTAACCTTGTTACAAACTAACTGAGGCACCTGAGTGGCACAGCTGTATGCCACTCAGGCACAACCCAAGCTTTTAATTAAAGTTTTAATTTTTAATTCTCTCTCATTTACTGTCTCTCTTTTTAATTTTTTGATGATTATTTATTATGTTTTGATTTATTTGTGTTGTGATTTTAATGCATTTCTTGTTCTGTAAAGCACTTTGAATTACTTTGACAAGGAGGTATGGCCCAAAATGTTTCTACCTCAGAGCGCTCAGTAGTTCAGAAAACAAATACACAAGTATCTTAACCAACATTTTAACAACAGCACTAAAGTAACACAGTCTCTTATGGACTCAGAGCCTCCGGGTGTGGTGTCCCAGCCCCAAGTGTCCAATGTGACGAAGGAGAACCTGACCGTGAGCTGGACTCCCCCTGGAGACGATGGAGGCGCTCCGGTCCTGGGGTACATCCTGGAGCGAAGGAAGAAGGGGAGTAACATGTGGCTACAGCTCAACAAAGACCTCATCACGGGTCTGTTTCATTTAAAGAAGATATTTTATGCTTTTATTTATTATTATTTATTTTCTGCTTCATGAAACATTATTTTAGCAGGTCTTTTGTCTTAAACTGTAACATGTAGATATGACATTACATTTTGTTCATTGTAAATCCAAATATTGATATAAAACAGCTCGATAACAGAAACAAGGCTTATTGACTTCCTGTTCAAAACTGCAGAAGTGAAATGTCTGTCTCTTCATATTGACTTTTCACTGCAGCAGCCAGTCAATTATAATTTACGTGACATTTTTCAATCCTGTGTGTGATGCAGGTTAAATCTTTTTTTTTTTTTTTCCAATAATTGCAAGTACACAGAGCAGTGACCTGAGATAGGGTGTTGGTGAAAACAGGAATTTCTGAGCCGTGAAGCCTCAAATACAGGATCAAATGTATGAATCAATCAAAATACAACTGTGAGTAAGTTAATGAACAGTGTTGGGAGTAACGTGTTATAAAAGTAACAAACTACTGTAATGCTTTGCTTTTTGCTGTAAGATTGATGGTTGGCATTACAGGGAAAAAAATGTAATATTTTACTCGGTACAGATGTGAGCAACGCACATTACAATGCATTTTTAACCTGGATTGAAGTGGTCAGTTTTTCGTTTTTTCTTCATACAAATTTGCTAAAACTACTGAGCTATCACCAGCGATGAAACGCCATTATTATGGTTCCAAATGTTGGTACAGGCCCGGAGGTGCGCCTGCGTAGACCATCAGGTGACCACAGGCGAAACGACCGACACAAAACTCTGCATTCCATGGGGCTAATCGCAGCTGATGCCCGATCGCACTTTGTGGACACCCTGCTCCACGGGCTCGGGGTTCTCTCAAGGGTGATCCTAGATTATAAATCCTAGTCCAAGATTAGTCCTGGTTCAGATCTGATTGATTGCATTTATATAGTGCCTTTCAAGATACCCAAAGCACTTTACAGTTCATTATTCAGTCACTCCACACTCACTGGTGGTAAGCTATTATTGTAGCCACAGCTGCCCTGGGGGCTGCCAATCTGCGCCATCGGCCCCTCCGACCACCCCCATCACTCACGCTCACACCACTTTCATACTAGGCAATGTACGTGAAGTGTCTTGCCACTGGTGCCCCCCTGTGGCACCTGGAATTCCTAGTGGTCTCCCATCCATGTACTACCCAGGCCCAGCCTGCTTAGCTTCTGAGATCTGACGGGATCAGGCTTTGACAAGCTGGTATGGCCACACTGGTTCGGTTCTGGTTTACTCCTGGTTTAGACCTGCTTTAGACCTGCTTTAGTCCTGATTTAGTCCTGGTTTAGACCTGGTTTAGTCATGGTTCAGTCCATATACGGAGCAAAAGTTTGCCATCTTCGCTCACTGATTGTTATTTGACAATCAGCGAGTTATTTTAGTGAGAGTAACTTAAAAGTGCTGCAATAGTTGTGTAATGTTTTACATTTTAAATGACAGTAAAAAGGACCGGCACGTAATAAATAACACATGAAGAGGGCCATTATGATTTACATATGTCCCATTTCCCTTTACATATCACTGAGAATCACTAAGAATACATGTTTTGCATCATTGTTTTTCTGCTGTGGACAGGCTGTAGTATAGACATGTTTCATTAACTCTGTGTTATTGCTTCCAGACTCTAAATTCACGGTGGACGGTCTGGTGGAGGGAGCAGAGTATGAGTTTCGCGTCACCAGTGTAAACAGAGCTGGAGCAGGCGACCCCAGCACCGTCTCCAACATGGTCCAAGCCAAAGACCCCATACGTGAGACAGGCTGTTCCTTCTCATACTTTTATTCCTCAAATTATTCACAATGCTGGGAAGAATACTTTGATAATGTATTTAGGTACAGAAATCATATTTTGCAGCTTATGTCACCAACAATTCACTGCTCTGTCTGAAGCTCTGTTACTGAAGTTAGACTTTAATCTGAGTTTTAATTTATATGACCATAAAGAGCTGACTTAACTGGAACTACAACAGGTTAGATGATTTAAACAAGCCTCTCACACAGAAAATTACAGTCCGAAGCTTTCAAGCAACAGTTTTTAGTTAGTTTATTTAGTCACTTTCACCTTTTTTGTTGAACATTGACACTTAAATAGGACCATGAACTTTTGTATTGATCACAGGTTCCTGAAAATTAGTTTAAATCCATTTTGTGTTTGTGTGTTTTTGTGTAAATGTGTAAATTGTTAGGGTGACCAGATTTCAAAATTCTAAACTGGGACACACCTGGGTTGGGATATTTGGTATAAAACATAAAACATTGTGCATTCTCATGTAAGTCATCATGTGAGGGATTTCTGTTGCTGCATTTTTTTTTTTTTTTTTGCTTTGTGGTCATTTGCAAATACAGTTTTCTGTTTTTTGGCTAGAAAGAATGAAAACTTCGCACATCATTTACTTGAGACGGGTGCGTTGGAGGAGAGGGAGCAGCTCAAGAACACAGAGAAAAACCCTGCACACGTCTTACTTGCAAAATGTGAGATTTATTGGGACAAACCAGTTTTATTAGGAGATTTATTAGAACAAAACAGTTTGTACGAATAAATCTCACATTTTACAAGTAAGACAGTGTGCAGGATTTTTTCTCTCTGTTTTTTGGTGAAACAAATGACAGTTTATGCTCCTCTTTACTGTTGTCGGGGATCAGATTAGTCAAAAATTGTGATTGTCCTGTTTTAGTCCTGGTTTAGACCTGATGTAGTCCTGGTTTAGACCTGGTTTAGATCAGATTGGCCAAAAATAGGGACATCTGGGACATTTCTTGTATAAAACTAGGACAAATCACTGGTTTTGGATAAATCTGCTGGGACAGGGGACACAGGGCTCAATACTTGGGCTGTCCCGGGTAAATAGAAACGTCTCGTCATCCTATGCATTGGGTTATTATGGTCAATGCTAAACATTTCGCCATGCACATACATGTAGAACATCCCCAAGAGTGATGTCACTGCAAAGTATCAGTCCTTGGATTTTGTATTGCATTTATTGATCAAGTGATCCAATGAAAGTACTATATTCTGAATACTTAAAATACTTTCATTTCACATTGCATTATAATAGTTTAAAAATATGTCATAAACTTAAAACAGCTTTAAGTTTGTTGTACTGTTCGTAATGCATTTATTTATCACTAATTAGAAGGAAAAATCACACTTGGAATTATGAATATCTAAATAAAATGTTGCACTACAATAATAATAATAAAAACTAAAACTAATAAAAATTAAAAATAAAAAACTAATTGTTATTCTGATGCCAGATCTGTTTTTGGTGCACAAAGCTCTCACTTATGTTGTTTACTTTGCTTCTGTGATGATTTTTGTTTTGGTTCAGTATAAAAGTGCATAAAGATTAGAAAGAAAAAGATTTGATTCTTTTAAAAAATAAAATCCAATCACCGCTGTACACAATCTAACCTAAACCTAACTCTTTGTCATTGTAGGAGCTCCTGGTCTTGTGAGGAACTTTTTTGTGTCCGATTCCTCCTTCTCCACCATTTCTCTGAGGTGGAGCGCTCCTGAAACAGGAGATGAACCTACAGGATACGTTCTGGAAGTCCGTCCGGAGAATAGTAAAGACTGGACCAAAGTCACGAAGGTCCCTGTGGCCGGTACGAGCTTCACTGTGGCAGGACTTCAGGAGAGGATGAAGCACTTTTTCCGTATCCGTGCGGTCAATGAAGGAGGACTGGGAGAGTCTGTTGAAATGTCTAAAGGGGTTTTAGCCATGCCTCCACCTGGTAATAACACTGTACTTTATTATGTATTTATTTATTTATGCATTTGTTTAGTATTTAGTTAATTAGTTGAGTACGTTTTTAAAGTATTATTATGTATTTTTTGGCAGTGTCTCCCAGATTTAACCTGGATGGGAAGCTGAGAAACCAAGTGGTAGTTAGAGCTGGAACCGCACTCTGCCTTCGCCTCAGCTTTTTTGTAAGACTTTTAACTTAACCACATACATTGAACTACATGAACTACAAAACTAAACTATCACAGGTGACCAGACGTCCCTGTTTACCCAGGACAGACCCAGTTTTGAGCCCTGTGTCCCCTATCCCAGCAGATTTATACAAAGCCATTGATTTGTCCCAGGTTTATATAAGAAATGTCCCTATTTTTGACAATTTTGATCCCTGTCAACAGGAAAATGAGGCATAAATTGTCATTTATTTAAGTAAAATACATAAATGGATACTTAAAAATGACTAAAACGCAAAGAAAATGTGATTATACTGGCTCACATGTTCGTCATGAATGGGTCGAGTGCATAACAATTTTCCTTAATTATGCACTCGTTTTGCTATTTTATTATTACCAACCACCAACAAACCAGGGATGTTACAGGTTTTTATTTTGAAATTCTTGTTACCCTAAAACATAACATAGCAAAAAACCTAGGCCGGGGTGTCAAACTGAAATTCACAGAGGGTCAAAATTAAAAACTGAGACTAAGTTGTGGGCCAAACTAAATATTTATTGAAAAAGTTTCAGCATGTGTGCGTGTTTGGTTTTTTTTCTTTTGAGATATGGAATGTTAAACCTTTTCTTATTAAAATAAATGTTTAATAATAGTTTTGCTTAAACATTGAATTCAGAACAAGTAAAATATAAAATAAAATAAATAATGTCTTTGTCCTCTGGCATGCCTAACCTAGGCTAAAAGGGTCAAGTACAAATATAATATAATAAAACTAATATTAAAAAAAACAAACTTAAATAATAAATAAAAAAAACTTCTTCTATATATATTTCTGTGATGGACTGTTCAGCAGTTACCATGGTGACACAATGTACACATTAGCAAACGCTCCCAAATAAGTTTTAAGATGGTCTGAAAACTCAAGAAAAAACACAAAATGGATTTAAACAACAGCCTGTGATCAATACGAGCATTCACAGTCCTATTTAGGTGTTTGATTTTTGACAAAATAGTGGGAGTGACTCACTGAAAAACTGTACAAATCAGCTCACTTGTTGTAGTTCCAAATAAATCAGCTCCTTGTGGTCAGATTGTGTTAAAATAAACCTTATATTAAAGTCTAACAGAGCCTCAAACAGAGCAGAACCTATCGTTAACATCACACTCCCCGGGAATGTTGCTTACATCAGCTGCAAAGTATCAATAGTCACATTATCCAATAAATTAGTCACACATACAGTACTATTAAATTCTTTCAAGACTTACCTACGTTTCATAGTTTTCTTTTGTTTACAGGCTTCTCCTCCCCCGTTAGTAACGTGGTTCAAAGATGGGCTCCTCACCACTGGACGAGAGGCCGTCATCAAAGGCACCAACCACTCCCAGCTCCTCATCCCCTCGTCTGTCCGCTCAGACTCCGGAGTTTACCGCGTCCACCTGAAGAACGAATTTGGAGAGGCCCACTATGATGTCAATGTTAAAGTTACAGGCAAGTGCTGTTACCAAAATTATATAATTATGATCAGAGTTTTGACAGAAAATATCCACACACACAAATGTTTAACTTTACTATTGTTTGCGAGGGATTCGTTACTCACACTTATCATTACATTTGATGGATTTACAAAAGGCAGTGATCAACATTTTGAACCTATTGTGAAAACTTTAATTTCACTTTATTTAATTTATGCTGACAGAGGAGACAGATTTAGCTTTTCTCCATCTTGTTTCATGTGGATAGGCCTTGTAAATGCATAGATATTAACCAGAAACGATGGGTCTCCAACCATTTTTCTCCTGTGAGCTACCTTTACAAAATAAAAATGCCAGAGAGCTACTCATTTTAACGGCTGCAAGAAACTGAGACGATTATGAGAATAAGAAAAAGGGCAAGCCTTGGGGTACAGTTAAATGCTTATAAAACCTAAACTATTGTCCATTTATTAGTGCACAAAGTTGGGCATCAAAATGATACATTTGCAATGTTAAATAGGCATAAAATTAAACACATTTTGGTTATTCAGCACAATGGTATAATTCCAAAATCCCTTGGCGAGCGATTTAGAAAAGGGTTGAGAGCTACTGGTAGAACTCTGCCAAGTTGTGATGTCATGTAAATGAAACCTATTGATCCTGCTAACTGTAGGCACTGCTCTGTCTGGAGCTCTGTTACTCAAGTTAGACTTTAATCTCATCTTTGTTTTAACACAATTTGACCATATAGAACTGACTTAGTTGGAACTACAGCAGGAGAAATTATTTAATCAAGTCACAGTCACAAGGTAGATGGCATTCAGAGGCGGCGCTATCATTAGGCAAAATAGGGGGCTGCCTAGGGCCCCCAAACCTGGAGGGGCCCCAATCAATTGCCCTCAGTGTTACTAATGGCCAAGGCCTCAGAGCAATTAGATTTTCTCTCAGTATAGCATTAAAGTATTTTACTTTTAAAAAGTAATCATAAGAAATATAATAATAATCATATGTAATTGATGTAAACAAAATGTAATTGTAGTAGAAAAAAAACAAAAAACTTTCAGTTCTGACTAGTAGGCCCCCTAACTAATAAGAAAAGTTTCCAATCCACCGTAATTCAAATAAATAGAGATGTGTATGTCTCAAGAACAATGGGGAAAACAGACAATAAATATATATATATGAAAAAAACAAAAAAAAAAAAAAAAAAAAACGGTGCATTATAGTGAGGGCCCCAAACTCAAGTTCGCCTAGGGCCCCCAAATTGCTAACTCTGCCACTGATATCATTAACCAACAGTTTTTTACTTAGTCACTCTCACTTGTTGAAAATCAAACTCTTAAACAGGACCATAAAGGCTCGTATTGATCACATGCTCCTGGAAATGTGTGGTTTAATATATATTTAATACTTTTTCTTGAGTTTTCAGAGTATTTAAACACTTTTTGTTAATATGTGCATTAGGTTTCCATGATAAGTGCCGAACATTCCACCATAAACATACATGTAAAACTCCCCCAGCGTGATGTCAATGCAAAATATCTATTATTTTGTCTCACTGTGATTTCACCTTCCTCTTGGTTAGACTTTCCTCGGCCTCCAAAGAGCTTGCGTTTGGTGGAGGAAGTCCCAGGAACAGTGACCCTTCATTGGGAGCACACCCCCGACCTGGCCGACGACGACGAGGGGGCTCATTATGTCATCCTGAAGAGGGACTCTAGCACCACCTCCTGGTTCACTGTGGCAGAGCGCGTGTTCAGTAAAAAGTACACGGTCACTGGGCTGCTGCCAGGGAGAAAGTACTACTTCAGGGTCCTGGCGCAGAACTTCATTGGATTCAGTGACCCCTTGGATTCAAAAGAGCCTTATTTCATCCCCAAAGAGAAAGGTATAAAAATGTCTTCTTCAAAATTCTACGAGCGTTCGCACTTGTCCTGGTTTGATCCTGGTTTGAACCCAGATTGGTCCTGATCTTGATTTAGTTGGTCCTGTTCTAGTCCTGTATTCTGTACTCCAGATTTACTTTAGGGTTTAATCTCAGTTAAATTCCGTCAAACTGTGTAGATGACTTTTTGACTTTGTTCACTCTTGCATAATTAACACATCAAAACTGGGATTAAACTGGACTAAATACAGAATTAAATCAGGACTAAACCAGGACTAGGGCAGGACTAAACCACATCTACATTTGGACTTGAACTGGGCAAAAAAGTTGTGTAAATTTATTTAGCTTGAATCTGTCATGCTGCTTTTATACTTGTATGTGATCTCTGAATATGTTGTTCTAGTATATTGAAAAGGTAAAAACAAAACGTGTTTAACTTGAGGAAATGTGTGTCTTTTAGAGTGTATCCGTGGCCTGAATGTGAAGCAGTCCTGTGCCCGGTCACGTCAGGTGAAGCCCAGTTTCCTGCTCCCTCTGAAGGATCACGCTGTGCGCCGGGGAAATGACTGCACTATGAGCTGTGCCTATCAGGGCATGCCAACGCCACAGGTACTCTAAACACATAACATAACATAACAAACATAACATAACATAACATAACATACATAACAACATAAAACATAACATATAACATAACATAACATAACATAAATAACATAATATAACATAATATAACATAGCAAACAAAACATAACAAACAAACATAACAAACATAACATAACATAACATAACATAAACATAACATAATATAACATAATATAACATAGCATAACAAACATAACAAACATAACAAACATAACATAACATAACATATAACATAACATAACATAACATAACATAAACATAACATAATATAACATAGCATAACAAACATAACACAAACATAACAAACATAACATAACATAACATATAACATAACATAAAATAACATAACATAAACATAACATAATATAACATAATATAACATAGCATAACAAACATAACACAAACATAACAAACATAACATAACATAACATATAACATAACATAAAATAACATAACATAAACATAACATAATATAACATAGCATAACAAACATAACACAAACATAGCAAACATAACATAACATTACAAAAATAACATATAGCATAACATTACATGACATATAACATATCATATAACATAACATAAACATAACAAACATAACATATACATAACATAACAACATAACATAAACATAACATAACAAACATACATAACATAACATAACATAACATAACAAACATAACATAACATAACGATAACATAACAATCATAACATATCACATATAACATAACATAACATAACATAAACATAACAAAGATAACATAAACATAACATAACAAACATAACATATAGCTTAACATTATATTACATCTAACATAACATATAACATAACAAACATAACACATAAATAACAAGCATAACATAACATAACATTAGAAACATAACATAACATTACATTACATTACATAACATAACAACATAACATATAACATAACATTACGTTACATTACATAACATAATGATAACATAACATAACAAACATAACATAACAACGTAACATATTATTAAAACACTGAAACACTTCAAATTAAAATGATTAAAAGTCTGTTGGTAGATGCATTTTTGTTATTATTTCTGTTTTCAATGAAGTTTCCACCCAGCCTCCGGTTCTGAAAGTAAATTTCTCATTCTCATTCAATAGACATTCCAAAAAAATAAAAAATACAAAAGTTTGAAAGCTTTCTCAGCTGCATGGTGACTAAAGGGAACATTACCAATAATTATATTTAAAATCTGTTTCTGAAAATGTATAAACTACGATGTTATTAAAGAAAACTTTGCAGAATCTTGTGCTTTACATGTGCTTTTTGGGCTTAAAACAACCTTAGACTTAGACTTAGACAAACCTTATTGATCCACAAAGGAAATTATTTGGACTAAGTAGCTCACATATCACAATATAATATAATAACAAAAATCAAAAATATAAATGGTAATAATAAATTCTATATAAGTAACAACAAAAAAGCAAGAGGCAGGTGTCAAATAAGTAATAAGTAAGTATAATTATATAAACCTTGTTATGGATATTAGATGATTAACCTCAGCGATGCCTTTGAACTCTTAATATTAATTTTTTTTTTTTAAAAATCTATAGGAAAAATTAATGGAAAATTTATTTCAAATTTACTTCAAAGTGGGTGAGACTGTTGAGCTCCATATTCACCTTATTCCGCTCCAAACACTTTTGTCTCTAAATGCTCCTAAACCGAGCTTTTCGTTGCGGCACTTCTTGTTCAGTGGAGAATTTGAGAAAGATTTTGCCACTTAAATATGACATAAAGTCGATTTATTTGTGTAAAATGTTCAATGTTCATGTGCAAAAACAAGTTGTTTGTCTGGGAGGCTTTAAAACGTCTTTATAGTTCATACTGAACTCACAAAATAACACAACGCACATACAAGAAGGTTAATACTGAACCTTTCCATGGGCAATAATTATAACGTGTGTTATATTTGTTGTGTGCAGGCCTGTTGGTTTAAAGGAGAAACCAAAATCTCCAACTGCTCTCGGTTCTGGCAGAGCACGGCCAACGGAGTGTGCACCCTGGTCCTGCCGTCCTGTGGAGCCAAAGACGCGGGGCTGTACACTCTCGTGCTGGAGAATCCCCTGGGAGAGGCCAGGTGCTCCTGCAATCTGCTCATCTTTGGTACGTTTTAAATAAAGGAAAAGCACTAATCATAAAGGGTTAGAAAATAATGCAGTATATACAGTAGGGATGGGGCAAGACGAGAATTCCTGAGACAAAACACGAGGATTTGGCACAAGTTATAATAAATCAGTGGTGTGTTCAGATCACAATTTTGGCTTCACATTTTATTTTGTTTTTTTTTTTAAGTCCTGGTAGAACTATTATGCAAAATTGACTTTTCAGAGCTTCTCATTTACCCTCTCGAAGTAAAATTTAGAGTGATATGTGCATGTTTGAGCATCCATATTGCCATTTAATCCTCGCTTTCACAGCAGCCGGCAAAATAAGTTAATATATTAAAAAGTAATTGCCCGTATTTATCTCTACATTTCTGTTTTCATTTTTAGATAAAGATGACAGCCTTGTGGAAAATCTGGACAATCCCACCAACAAAGAGAAGCTGATCCTGTAAATTCAACGCTCATGGATGAACCAACAAACTCCAGCTGCATATTACAGCTCAAAGGAGGAACATAGAGCACTTATTTACTTTAATTTAGTTGTGCAGTTTTGTGAGTGAACACTAGATGGCAGACGTGTCCAATAGTAAACTCAGCTCGGTTCGTTTTTGTGATATTTATCCCTGAATTTCAGTCCACAGAAAGATGAAAAATACACACGACAGGTTTGAATCATTGTCTAGTTTTGATTTTCTAAACTAAATATTAGAGTTTTATACAAATCAAGAAGCAGTTTGTAAAGAAAAGTGTAAAAATGTGTTGACAATTACAGGATATTGATAAGATCACACCAGGGAGAATTCTGTCTAAAGGTTAAGCACAATTTACACAAGAGGCATATTTTGTCTGATACTTAACACTACACTAAGAGGGTTTTGTCACATTTTAATTGATCAAATAATAGTTTTGTCCCAGTGGTTGCTAGGTAACAATTATGGAAGTCCCTAGTGTGTAATGATTTTCAACCAGGAAGCAAAATTTTAAACCGAACCTTTTAAATTTTGAAAAAAAATTTAAGTAAAATCACACATCAAATTGAATAAATCTAGAAAGCGCAAAACAAACATTTCTTTACAACCATAAACAAATAGTCCCACATGCCCTTCCACCCAGCCACCTTACCCCCATAACTGTCTAACCCGAAACAACCAGTCACATGCACACAAACAGACACACACAGACGCACACAAACACACACAGACACACACACGTGCCAAAACAGGCTGACACAGACACTAAATATAATTCTCTTAACTGTGTTTTGGTAAAATGGTAAAAACCTGTTATAGGCGCTTTGTTTGTTGTTTCATTCAGCTGGTTTGTCTGTCATCTGTTGTCACATTTCCTGTATACACTTTGCTTTTTTAAAAGGTTATGCTGAGTGAATGCAAATAAAAAACACAGGACACATCTCATTATTTAAGCATTTCAGCAGCTGTTAGAAGGAAATTGCAGTTTACCACTAATGTAATTACCGGTAGTTATAATTAGTCATAACCTAGTTTACCTTTTGGGCATTGCGGTCTTCAGCTGTTCAAGATTAATGTTTTAAGTTTTTGCATTTTTCGTGAGTCAGCTACAACGAGTCGAGACTCGACTTGGACTCTCCTGTCTTTGATTTGGGACTTGACTCAGACTTGAGGTCAAAAACTTGAGACTTACTTGAGACTCGCAAAACAACGACTTGATCCCACCTCTGCTTCATGACATCACAAGGTTGAATTTTTGAGGATTTTCGGGTTGGAGATGTCAGAGAGACTAATAACAAAGTCTAATAAACTCAACCTCAAGCAACTCCAGGTATGTTTTTGAGGAGATAATGTTGATAAAAACAACCTTTTCCTCTTGTGTTTCTGCTTAGATAAAAAAAATACACTTGAAACAGAAATAAAGTCCAGATAATTTACTTACTCAAATATTAGAAAGCCGTACTTGTACAAGGTGTCTGTGTCCTGTTGTCACTTCTCCTGTATCCAATTTGCTTTTCTAAAAGTTATGTTGAGTGATTGCAAATAAAAAACACAGGACACATCTCGTTATTTCAGCGTTTCAGCAGCGGTTAGAGGAAAAGTGTAGGTTACCACTATTAAGTAACTAGTAATTACCGGTAGTCATAATTGGTAATAACCTAGTTTACCTTTTGGGTGTTGTGGACTTCAGCTTTTCAATATTAATGTTTCAAGCAGTTTTCATGAGTCAGCTAAAACCACATTTTTCTACTGGGCACAATTTTATAAGAACTACACCTTAATTAGCCTTAATAAAGTGTGAACAAAGACTTAATGGTCATATATTATCCAAAAAATGGCTTTTGTGTTGTAGCCATGTTAAAATGTTCACACGTGTTCACACATGTTTGAGTAATACTTTATAACTAGTCTGTCCACTTCTCCAAAACTTAAGCGGTTGGTTTCAAGTTAACAGCTCCTTTTACTTTTGGTTCAGTAGAGATGAGTAATTCCAGGGCTGAAATTATCCAAACGATTCTAGTGAAAGTGTATGGAGTTTAAAAACACAATGGAGCACTTTCTGTATTACCACATGACATCACAAGGTGGAATAGTGTTTTCTGTCTGACATAATAATACTAATAATAAATTTGATTTATATAGCACTTTTTTGGACACTCAAAGACACTTAAGAAGGAAGAGAAATACTTTTAAAAGGGTTTGTGTGTGAATGAAACTGAACACACCTCCAGGTCTATTTGTGATAAGGAAACAACAATATAACGAAGGCTGAGCAAAAATATTAAAATATTGATATATTGCATCGTTTAATGTGATGATAGAGTATTGATATATTGTCAAGAGTATTTTTTGGTATATTTTACCCAATTATTTTGTTACAGCGCTACAGTTTTGTTGCTTGTTCAGAGAAAGGAAACTCGTTTATGTGACACATTTGACATTTTCACTGTTTTGGGGATTAAAATGTTTGTGTTTCATATTCACTTTGCACAAGAAGCGGTTTAATAAAGACGTAGTATCACAGCCATGATTTAGCCTTTATTTTTTATTGAACCGTATCAAATCAATTTGAAATATATCGTATCGAATCAAAAACTCACTGTATCGAGGTATGCTTCGTATCATGGCCTTCGTATCAAGGTATGTATCGTATCATGCCTTTGTATTGAGATATGTATTGTATCATGTATCGAGGTATGTATCATATCCTTCGTATCGACGTATGTATTGTATCATGGCCTGTGTATAGAGATATGTATCGGATCATGGCCTTCGTATCGAGATATGTATCGTATCATGGCGTTCGTATCGAGATATGTATCGTATCATGGCCTTCGTATCGAGATATGTATCGTATCATGGCCTTCGTATCGAGATATGTATCGTATCATGGCCTTCATATCGAGGTATGTGTCATATCATAGCCTGTGTATCGAGGTATGTATCGTATCATGTATCGAGATGTATCGAGGTATGTATCGTATCATGGCCTTCGTATTGAGATATGTGTCATATCATGGCCTTTGTATCGAGATATGTATCGAATCATGGCCTGTGTATCGAAATATGTATCGTATCATGGCCTTCGTATCGAGGTATGTATCGTATCATGTATCGAGATGTATCGAGGTATGTATCTTATCATGGCCTTCGTATCGAGATATGTATCGTATCATGGCCTGTGTATTGAAATATGTATCGTATCATGGTCTTCGTATCGAGGTATGTGTCGTGTCATGTATCGAGATGTATCGAGGTATGTATGGTATCATGACCTTTGTATTGAGATATGTATCGTATCATGGCCTTCGTATTGAGATATGTATCGTATCATGGCCTTTGTATCGAGATATGTATCGTATCATGGCCTTTGTATCGAGATATGTATCGTATCATGGCCTTCGTATTGAGATATGTATCGTATCATGGCCTTTGTATCGAGGTATGTATCGTATCATGGCCTTTGTATCGAGATATGTATCGTATCATGGCCTTCGTATCGAGATATGTATCGTATCATGGCCTTTGTATCGAGATCTGTATCATATCATGACCTGTGTGTCGAGGTATGTATCGTATCGGCAAGTTCTGAATGATACCCAGCCCTAATTATAACACAGACAAAATTGTAGTTATCCTAATTTTTGATGCTTGTTTTGATGCTTATTTGTGCTTACATGTATCACTGGCTTCACTCCACATCTCATTGAGTATTATAAAAGTATTAGCACACATTTCTCTCAATCCTGTATTATTGGATTTAAGACTCAAAATCAGGCCAGAGTTTAAGAGGGTTATCTATCACATTAGATCAAACTACACACCAGCTGCCAGCATTCATCTTTTTTATGTTCACCGGGCCTGGATTTAGAAGAGGTAAAGTATTATTATTATTATTACCTTGTGCTTCAAACCAACCAAAACCTCCACTGCATTAAAGGGCTTATATCACTCTATTTTCTAATCTATGTTGTAATGTTTTGTCATCATATACACACCTCGAGTTGTGTTTTGTTTCATTAACACACAAATCCTGCATTTTTAGGTAATACAGGAAGTGCTCCATTGTGTTTTTAAACTCCATACACCTTCGCTAGAATCATTTGGATGATTTTGGCCAATCTCTACTGAAGCAAAGGTAAAAGGAGCTGTTAACCTGAAAACTACTGCTTCATGACAGAGGTGGGGACTTGAGAGTCGTGACTTGGATTTGAGTCAGACTTGAGTCACTATTTTCAGGACTTGAGACTTGACTTGATAAAATGGACTAAGACTTGGGACTCGAGTTGGACTTGAAGGTCACTGACTTGGGGCTTGACTCAGACTTGAGGCCTGTGACTTGAGAAGACTTGAGAAGGCTTGATATTTTTCTCTTTACAGATGATAAATGCAGTGTTTAATTTTACAGGGACAAACTGGAACATGTCGCTCCCACTTCTGTTTTTTACTTTGGGTGTAACTGAAGTACTGTGAGATGGAATCCTACACACAGTAATACACAGTACAACACAGTAAAACAGAGGGAACTACATAGAACTATAGAGAAAATAATCCTCCATGACAAAATAACTGTGTATAAATTTACCATGATTTTTTAAGTACAATTCAGTTTAAAATTCATATAAATTGCAAAAATCTAAGCTATATTTGGTACTTAAAGACTTGAAGCTCAAAGCAGATGACTTGGACTTGACTTGGACTTATGGGCCAGTGACTCGAGACTCGACTTGGACTTGCCTCAAACTTGAGGTCAAAAACTTGAGACTTACTTGAGACTCGCAAAACAATGACAAAACAACACCTCTGCTTCATGACATCACAAGGTGGAACAGAGTATTTTGAGCTTTGGAGATGTCAGAGAGACTAATAATAAAGGGTTACTCAACCTCAGACAACTCCAGGTATGTTTTTGAGGACATAATGTTGAGGAAAACAGCCTTTTCCTCTTGTGTTAGTTAGTTTCTGCTTAGATAAAAAAAAAATACACTTGAAACAGAAATAAAGTCCAGATAATTTATTTATTCAAATATTGGAAAGTAATACAGTACAGTACAAGGTTTCTTTGCTGACATTCCCATACAGAGACTGAATGTTTAAGCCTTGACAATTAGTTTAATATGCAAACTATAGCAGGAGGCTACAATGTTTTAGACTTAGTGCCTCTTCATTGGTGCCAGGCGTCTTGGCACTTTACACAATCTTATCAGAGTGTGACGAGTGTCCTTCGGGGGTGTTGTATCTTACTCCCATTACTGAAGCATCTTGCCATCTTGAATCGTGAGTCAGCACATCCCTATTGATAGGTTTTTGGCATATTTAGTTAATTTGCTATAGATAAACTGGAATATCATGCATTTCTCTTGACATATATCTGAGTCTCACAGCTGTGATTATAACTCTTATCTTCACATTACCTCAGTACAGCGGTGCACAGGGCCTGCAAGGCTTTCTCTGTTGACCTAAAAAAATATCTGAATGACACACTGATGTTAATTATATTATTATTAAATAATTCTAAATGGTCTGTCCTCTTCCTTTTAGAGCTTTTCCAATGCTTGTGCTGCTTCCAGACATGTATTTTCATATTAATATTCAAATTTCACATTTGACCAATCACATTTTAGCCATTATTTGTTGCCAGGCAGAGTCAAAGTCAAAGAAATATGCCTGAGGCCTTCACACTCCGTTCTGCAGGCCCTCGAACACAAAATAAATGTCCCTGAAACTGTTGCTTCAACCAATCAGATTTTGAGTTGGTGTCACCAGGGCCTTTAGCAGACGTACGACAACGTCACCGGATTCAAACCTGAGAGAGAGCGAACCAGCCAAAGCAGCAAACTGCATCTGCAGTGGAACCAGGACTACACCAGGTTTAAACCAGGACTACACCAGGACTAAAGCAGGACTAATCTAAATCTCTCTAAAGAGAGATAACCCCAAGCCTGCGGAGCCGCCCCGTGCTAAAGGGGTTATGTGGTATGTTAAGCTTTTCCCCAATCCTGTAGGAAGAAGGGCAATAACGTCTTTCACCTTGATAAAATTCACCAAACATTCTCTTTGTTTCGGCTTTAAATCCTCGATCTCTGGAATCGTTGCCAGCACAATGTATGGCTTCGTCTACATCCATGTCGACTGTTTTGTTTACCCTTGTGCTGTACCACAAAAGGGACCCAGTCATGGCTTCACGGCTCTTTGCTGATTGGCTGGTGCACGGTTCTACAGCTCCTGGTTTTCTTGCAAACCGTCTAGTGTATTCTGATTCCTGACCTAGTCGCTGGAGAGAAATGAAATAGGTGGCGCCAGCCTGGCTAATGAACTATAACAGTGGTTATACAAAGTAGCTGAGCCTAGTTATTTATCCTAACGATAACAACAGTATTTTTGCTACTTTTTACATTTTGCTCAGTAGAGATTGGCAATTTCAGGTCTGAAATTGATCAAAATGATTCTAGTGAAGGTGTATGGAGTTTAAAAACACAAAGGAACTGTATAGCTTGTGTAATAGTCAGCATAATCAGCATGAACTTAACTTATTATGAGCTTTTAGTGTTACCTAATAAAAAAAAAAAATCCTTTTCTTATGCCTTTATGTGTGTATTTATGTCCCATGCATTCTTTATGTAATAATGACAGAAAGTGAGAGGAGATTGGAATGAATGCTTGTACTTTTAATTTAAAGTTGACAGAAACACCAAATTGCCAAAGGAGGAAATTTAAACTCCTTCTGATCTAAAGAACATTGAGGTATTAAAAAGGTTGTTTTACAATTAAATCCAATCAATCAGAGAGGCACTTTTCATTATGTTAGCAGGAAGTGTGCCTGACCAGGGTTAGAAGACTGGAGCTCTTTGATTGTGGGTCCTTTGGCTGCAAATGAATGAGATGCTTTAGGAGAGAACTGGCTCGGACCCAAACAGGAACGGAGTATTGGACCTAGAAAAGAGCATCGACTATCCGGAGACTGTTTTATATTACACAAAATTGACTCTTGTGTACTTTAAACCATGTTATAATGTTGCTACCTCTGCAAAAACATACTTTGAGCTGTGTTTTGGTTCATTCATGTTTGAGAAATCCTTTTAAACTGCTGTAGTTTTCAAGTTAGCAGCTCCTTTTTGTAGCATGTATGATTGGTGGAGTATACTACATAGGAAGCTGGGTATAGGCTAGTTACAGAAGATCTGGTTCGGCTCTCGGAGGGAGGTGAGACAGTTTAAAACACACAGAGCAGGAGACAGTACTATGGTGCAGGATGTAAGTTGTATTAAATGGTTATATAAACAGGGGATACTTACAATATTCACAAAAATAGATTAAGTGATCAATGGTGCGTTGTCGTTTACAGATTCACAGTTCAGTTCAATATGGTGAAGGGTGGGAGTGGGTAAGTTTATAGTCTGGAGGAGTAGTGAAGGGAGTTTGTCGGTTATTTATGTATAAAGTGTTGTGTAGGGAGCAGGCTACAGCGCCCCCTACCGCACTGTAGATGGTATTTATGTTTAGACGTCTTTTAGGCTCAGGGCCTTGGGCAGCTCGTCATCGGGTTCTGCAGGACCATAGGGTGGACGGACCGATGAGTTGAGAGCGCAGCCACAGATCAGGCATGTCCAAACTATGGCCCGGGGGCCAAATGCGGCCCTCAGACAAATTTTTCTTGGCCCTCAGGCTTCCAGGTGAATTGGCCCAAATTAACTTGCATCAATAAAAAAAATGTTTTACTGCAAGTTTTTTGAAAATCTACTTTGATAAAGCTAATATTGAATATTTAGTGTGTGATTTTAAGGATCTTAGCATGATTAAAGACTGATGGCTCATTCTAACGTGTTAAACATGCACACATTTCAATTATTCCCTGTACTGTGCAACAGTCTACGGCCCTTGATCGGCTCTCTGCTTCATCTTTGTTTAGATATGTGGCCCTTGATGAAAAAAGTTTGGACACCCCTGCCATAGATGTTCAACAAATGGATGGATGAATAAAGGAGAATGAGAATGGAGAATGGAGAATGGAACCTGGCCTGTATGGGACAGGACCAATAATCAATCATATGTCCATCATCTATACTCCATGAAATTAATATTACATACTAAATGGCAGCATGCCATATTAAAAGGAAGTAATTCCCACGGAGACCCAACGCTGCTAAGTACCGCAATATTTCATGCCGCGAGTAATAAGGCAGAGAGGCGCAGAGAACCCCGATAATCACCCGGGTTACCATTTACCTTTTGTTCAGTAGAGTTTGTTTCGATTCTAGAGCTGTGGAGCACTTCCTGTACTACCACAAGGTTTGTTTGAGAGAAGAACTCAGCCTAAATATGCAGGATTTATGTGTTAATCATGCGTGAATGAAAAAAAAACACAACTCTTGGTCTGTTTTTAATAAGAAAACAACATTATAACAAATCAGAAAATAGTGCAATATGGGGCTTTTTAAACAATTGTTCACTTAGGTTCATTTGGTTTTCACAGTTTAATTTAATTTGGGTGTAATTTGGTTTTTACACACAAATAAGTCAGACTACAAGAAGTAATGCCGGTTTCTACAGTGGATTTTATGTAACCAACAGCAAGGCCCCGAGAGGATTTTCAAGAACAGGTATTTTCTGTTTTGATTTGCTTAAGGTGTGATGCAATAATATTTTGATTACTTTAAAATGAATGTGGCGTTTGAAAACACAGCTGTACAAAGAGTAAATTGCGAGTCTACGGGATTTTTTTTTTTTTTTTTCAAATGACACTTCAGTTTCCACAAATTAACTCTACAAATATATAAAAAAAACAAACCAAACATCCAGACACATTTTAAGGTTGCATTGCAGTTGCATTTATTTCTCCATAGATATTCACATTCATAGCAGTTTCACTACAGCAATTAAACTACTTATTTCTACCTAAGAAATAATCACAAAGTAAAAACCAAAAGTGACAAAAGTAAAGTGTCATAAAGTACAAAATACTCCAAAACGATTCGCTGACGATTTGAATTTTAAAGGTGCACTGTGTAACTTTTCTCGTGGAGAGTCCGCTCACTGCTTATCTCCATGGCGATGTTATTGCTTTGCCTGGAATGTGCCACAATATGGGATTAGACTTGGCTATTTCCATGAAAAAAAACCCAAAAAAAACATGTGACGCCACCAAGCGAAGTTACAGGCCAGATCTATGGAGAGGCGACTGCACACACACTAAAAATACAGGTATTTCAAGGGATTTTTGAGCAATAAAAACAACTTTAATTGAATGAATGGATACGTTTAATACCGTTGTTCTGTCAAAGTGGGCTGCCCCGTCGAAATGAGCTCCTTTATGTTTTTTCTGTTTACAGTTGTATAAATCCAATAAAGCCAACCTCCTCAGTAGGGGTGTACAAAAATATCGAAATATGAATATATCGTATCATTTAAAGTGATAAGACAATATCGATATCATGGGCTGCTGTATTGATATATATCGCCAAGAGTATTTTTAGGTTTATTTTACTCAATTATTTTGTTACAGTGCTACAGTTTTGTTGCTTGTTCAGTGAAAAGAAACTCGTTCATGCGGCACATTTGACATTTTCACTGTTTTGAGGATTAAAATGTTTGTGTTTCATATGAACTTTGCACAAGAAGCGGTTTAAGAAACAGTTTTAGTATCACAGCCATGATTTAGCCATTATTTTTTATTGAAATGTATTGAATCGATTTGAAATATATTGTATCGAATCAAAAGTGCACTGTCGAGGTATGTATCGTATCAGTAACTTCTTAATGATACCCAGCCCTACTTTTCAGTCTGCTCAAATAGGGCTCCAACTAAATGAAGCCCATATCGACAGGCCAATTCAGCCATCGAATAATGCTCCCACTATATGAATTTGAGTAGAGGAGCTCATTTCCACAGGCCTGTATCTTCTATCTAATAAAGCTCCCACTGTATAAGAGAAAGAAATGACTGGAAACACTGAAATCTTTATATTAAATAAATATCATAGGCGACAGTGTGAATTTCCTATTATAATACAGTGATATTTTATTGATACAGCGCTTTCCTAAACAAAGTTACATCGTTTTCTACACATGGAAACACAATAAAATACGATGTAATGAAAATGATAACAATAAAATCAAATATTAAATCCAAACTATTCAATCATCTAATGTAGGTGTTCTGCGGCAAATCTAACACGCACAGGTCATTTCACTTCGTAGAAACAGTCTGACCTCGCAACACTAGGATTCGTTCTCTTGACAGTAGGCGGGTACCTTTTTTTTATTTAACCCATGGCTGCTATTTGGTCGTGACGTATGTAAAGCGCTGGTAACGGGGATAACTAGTATATTAAGCTTTTCCCAAATCCCGTAGGCAATAACGTCCTTCTCCTTGATAAAATTCACCAAATATTCTCTTTGTTCCGGCTTTAAATCCTCAGTCTCGGGAATCGTTGCCAACACAGGCTCTTCGTGGATTGGTCGATGCCCAAACTCGCATTTCCAGAGTTTTTGCGAACCGTCTAGTGTATCGCAATTCCTGACATAGTTGCTGTAGAGAAATGAAATTGAGGGGAGGCACTAGGTGGCGCCGGCCTGGCTAGTTGTTTACATACTTTTAAAATGAGACTTGTTACTCTACTTCTGCCTCGGGAGCTCAAATCGACGGCATTTAAACTGCAAGAGAACATTCCAGACAGGCAGGTGGTGGATCCTCTCCCTGGAAAGTTACACAGTGCATCTTTAACAGTGAATCTATCACTGTTGACAATAACAAAGGGCTACTGCAGGTCTCAGTATAATACTATAAAGATCAATACACTTCAATGTTAGGTAATGCCTCTAAAAGAAATCATTCATAATTCAGTGAAATTTCTCTCAAAACCAAACAACACAACGATTTAAAGGCGCACTGTGTAACTTTTCTTCTCTATGACCACAATGGAGACAGGTTAATGGTCAGATCTATGGAGAATCAAGCCTGTACATGGTAAAAATTTGTGTTTTAAAGGTACTTTTGAGCTATGAAACACCTGTAATTGAACAAATGGAAGGGAAATATGTTTAATGTCTTACTCTGAGACAAAAATACCCATATATATCCATAGAGATAAGCAAGTATTGGACCCTCCACCTTTAAAAGTTACACAGTGCTCCTTTTTAAGTCAGAGGAAATCAGCATACAGTTTACTTGAATGTACAGAAAAGAGAAAACGTGCATGTGTAACAGAAATGGACTGTCTCTGAGTAAGGAGCCTATAAGTGCACACACAGTAGGTCCGGTTTCCTCTTACAAAAGGACCATGGCTTTATTTTACATACTTCTCTTAAGCCGTGTTTGAGGGACAGTCTCTGTAACGGGTGCAATAAATAAACAGCTATTGATACTTTGCAGCGGATGGCATTAAAGTTCCCTGGGGGTGTGATGTGATGCGAACTGGAGGCACAGCTCTGTCTGAAGCTCTGTTACTCAAATTAGACGTTTTGTGAGCTGATTTTGTGCTGTCAAACAAATCTTTCACACATAAAAGTACAGTCACAACAGTCAATCTCACCTTTTTATTGAAATTCAAACACCTAAACAGAACCACCGACGCTCGAATCGATCACAAGCTCCTGAAAATGTGTAGTTTGAATCCATTTTATTGAGTTTTCAGACCATCTAAAAACTTGTTTGACTGTATTTGACATGTGTGCATTGTGTCTCCATTGTAACCGATGGAAAATCCACCATATAGACATACATGTAGAGCTCCCCCCAGCGTGAAATCAGTGCAAAGTATCAACACTGCAAAAAACAAAATCTAGTCAAGTTAAGATGACTTGAATTAAGAAAGTTTTATCGTGATTTGAGTCAATTTCACTTGACTTTTTGTACTTAAACTATGAAAATAGATCTTGCTACACTTAAAATAAGAAAAACAACAACTTTTTGCACCTAAAATAAGAAACAAAATCGAATGTTGCTTGAATTAAGAAAAAAATACTTATTCCATTGGTAGATAATCTTACTTGTCAAGTTGAATCGACTCAAATAAAGTAAAATGTTCTTAATTTAAGTCATTTTAACTTACCTAGATACTGTTTTTTGTTTTTTGTTTTTTCCAGTGAATAGTTTAATAATTTACTGTCACACAAACAAGATTGAAAATAAAAGTGCAGAAATTACATATTGAAATGTACCCCATCCCTGTTCGGAATTGTAGAGGATGAAACTATGTGGGTGTCAGAAGGTTTTCCTAGACTTTGGAACTGGTACGATATCACAATTTTAGCTGATTTTATAAGCAAGTTAAACGAAAACAACAGGACCTGCTTAGCTTATTGAAATCAGGCTTAAGTCCAGTTGTTAATATCATTTTCCTGGATGTAAATTTTTGCCAATATTCAGTACCAATATTATTTTCAAGGCTGCCGCGATCTCTGTGTGCCAGTGTCTTATTCCCAGATTGTTCTCACTGCATCTGATTTGTCTTTTTGAACACAGCAATGAAAAAAACGGAAGTAGAAGAGCAATAAGGCTGTAAATATGACTGAATACTCACACTAGATTCAACAAATCATTTGAGAACTAGTGATAAAGGGACAATATAACACTGTTCTGTCTATTCTGATCTGTGTTATATTGTTGTTTCCTCATCACAAACCTGGAGTTGTGTTTTGTTTCATTCACAAATGTTTAATACACAAACTCTGTGTATTTAGGCTGAGTTCTTCTCTCAATTGGAAAACACTCTGCCCCACCTTGTGATGTCATGTGGTAATACAGGAAGTGCTCCACTGTGTTTTTCAACTCCATGCACCTTCACTAGAATTGTTTGGACAATTTCAGACCTGGAATTGCTAAACTTTATGACATGACAATGTGGAACAGAGCTGTTGAGCTTTGGAGATGTGGACAGACTAATAAACAGACAGAATAATAAAGGGTTAGGTTGTTCAAACATGTGTGAATGACTTGAAGCTCACAAAAATCAATTTAGCGTAATATAGGATGTTTAACGAAACTTGTGGGGTTTGTTATGTATTTAAAATCATAATTTCGGTTGTCAATTGGATGTCAGAAAAAACATATTGAATCAATCCTAAAGTCTGCTGGAGCATCTGGATCAGGGGTGTCAAACTCAAATTTACAGAGGGTCAGACTTAAAAACTGGGACTAAGGCAATGCAGTAAAGTGTATTTACCTTGTTGACATGTTTCGGCTGCTAGCTGCAAGCCATCTTCAGAACTGTCACCGGTGTTGGTGGTGACGTGTCGTATATCAGCTGTTGTTACTTCCTGTAGGCGTGGTCAGCCTGATGGACCTGGCAGGTCGCTCAGACTGACCACGCCTACAGGAAGCAGCCGAAACATGTCAACAAGGTAAATACACTTTACTGCATTGTCTTTAAAAAGAACCTAAGAAGTTAAAGTATATAAGAAGACATAATGAACATCATTGGCTTAACTGGGACTAAGGGTCGTGCGCCAAACTAAATATTTATTGAAAAATTTCAACAATATCTGCATGTTTTCTCTTCTTTTTAGTTATGTACTTTTTAACTTTTCTTATTCAAATAAATGTCATTGAATCCAGAACAAGCATAACAAAATTTTAAGTAAATAATGTTTCTATAGCCTATCTGTAGCTATTTGATATGATCTCGCGGGCCAAATATAATTGTATCGTGGGCCAAAACTGGCCCCCGGGTCTGAGTTTGACGTGTCTGTTCTAGATCATCAGAACTGTCCAAACTTGTTTCACAGAGGCCTGCATATAGAAAAATATTTATAGCGGAGGGCTGTAGACTGGTCTTCTATACAGCGCGTCTTTAAAATAGATGCATTATCCAAAGCAACAACATCTTTAAAAAGTCTTGGAACAGTAATTACAGCCCTAATGCAGGTCTGTATCACACTTCAATAAGATAATATAGTGATAGAAATACTCATTTGCAGTAAAAAAGTGCTACATATGAATATTTTGGCCAGTTGAGCAGGAGGCTTGAAGGCCGTAGTTTGGACTCCCCTGTTCCAGATGAGTATTGGAGCCAAACTGATCTCCCAGTCTGCCCCCGTCTGCCTTTGTCCACGAACATAAAAGCTTTAAACAACAGAGTCGCTGACAACCCGAGGTAAAGTGATGCCCCCACCCACCTCCCATCTGCGGACGGAGAGAGAGGGGGAAAGGAGAGGGCGGCGAGAGAGAAGAGGAGGGACAGAAGAGAGGGCGGGGAGATAGTGAAGAGGGGAGAGAGGACAGAGAGAGAAAAGGAGAGAGGAGAGAGAGGAGAAAGAAGGGAGGGGGGGAGAGAAAGGGAGAGAGAGGGAAGAGGAGAGGATGGGGAGATAGAGAAGACGGGGAGAGGAGAGAGAGAGAAAGGAGAGAGAGGGGAGACAGAGAAAGAGAGAGGAGGGGACGAAAGAAGGGAGAGGTGGAGAAAGGGAGGGAGAGGTAGAGAAAGGAGAAGGGGGGGCAGGGAGACAGAGAGAGGAAAGAGGGAAGAAAAAGGAGCAAGGGCGGGAGACAGAGAGAGAGAAGGGGGGTAGAGAGGGGGAGAGAGAGAGAAGAGAAGGAGAGAGAGTGGTGACAGAGAGAGGGAGAGAAAGGGGGGAGGCAAAAGAAGGGAGAGGTGGGGAAAGGGTAGGAAGGAAAGAGAAATGGGACAGAGAGAGAGGGGAGGACAGAGAGAGAACAAGAGAGGAAAGAGAGGGGAGAGTGAAGAAAGGAGAGAGGGGAGGAGAGAGAGACAAAGAAACAGAGAGAGAAGGCAGAGAGAGACAGAGAGAGAAAGGAGAGAGCGAGAGGGTGGGGGGCAGAGAGAGGAGGAGCGAGAGAAGAGAGATAGAGAGATAGAGAGAGGGGAGAGGGGCTGTTCCTTGTGTCACATTTCACCACCTCACTAAATCCAGCTACAGTAACAGTCGGCAAAAACACCTCACAAATAAGTGGAGAGGCAGAGTTACCGACGACAGCCCCGGACACAAACGAGACACGAAGAAGTGACCGATCGGAGACAAAGAGGCCACTCGGGAAAATTACCCAAAGACCTGAGTAACGCTTAAAGGTCCTAGATTACACAAAATTGACTCTTGTGAGCTTTAAGTCGTGTTATAATACTGTTACCTCCTCAAAAACAGACCTGGAGTTGTGTTTCGTTTCGTTCACACGTGTTTGAGTGACTTTATTTATAGTCTGTCTACATCTCCAAAGCTCAAAATACTCTGATCCACCTTGTGATGTCATGAAAAAGAAGTATTTTTCATGTTAACAGCTCCTTCAAGGGCTGAAATTATCCAAATTATTCTGATTTGAATGAAACAAAACACAACTCAAGGCATGTTTTCGATGAGGAAATGACATTATAACCAAGATCAGAAAATAACACTAAATTTGCTCTTTAAATATGAGTAAATAGATGCTGTAAGAATTTTATATTGCTTCTTGTATCACTTAAGATTTGAAAATTATAGAAAGTATGTAGACCTGTCACAATAACTAATTCTGAAATCTGATATACTGATAGACTAAAATACCATGATAAATAACATAAAAACTCCTTTACACCACTGAAACAATAATCCTAAAGTTGATGTAAATGTACAAAATGCAAAAAGAACATGAGCTAAATGAAACTATTTTGTAGTTTGTCTATATGTACAGTATAATTAGTCAAAGAAGATACTTTCCACACCTCAAAATCTTAAAGTACTGCAAAATATATAACAAAACATTTCCCCACTAGCAGGACTGTTGACAGAAATTTGGGGGGAGTCTCACATGGGCCCACTCTAATATAAATTAAAAGAAAGAGGATCCAATTCTGGGCCCCCTAAAACCCTGGGGCCCCGGACAACAAACCCATTTGCCCCCTCCCTGTCTACGTCCCTGTTCACTAGTGCAAATGTAAATGCCAGTGGGTGTTTTGGCCGGTAGTTACTCCCAGTTTTTTTTACATTTATAGCGAAAGTCACGTGTTCGGAAACCACCAGCAAGTTCAGAATAATGAGTTAATCTTTGACACAGCATAAATCGGAGTGAGAAGTGGAGAACTGTGCGACTTTGGACAGAGCTGGAAGGACGAATTAAAAGAGTTGTTAACGGGTTAGTGGAAATCAGATCAAACTGTCACGAAAAATACTTTAACTAAATATTATTACTAAATACTTTTGGGGGTCAATACTTATCACAGTACTTTTTGTTAATGGGAATTTTTTGGTTATTTTTAGATACTACGATGAGATTTAAAGGTGCACTGTGTAACATTTCTAGTGGAGAGTCTGCCACCTGATGTCTTCGTGGAAATTGCTTTGTCTAGAACAGACACGTCAGACTCAGATTTGGCCCACGAAATAATTATATTTGGCCCGCGAGATCATATCAAATATGTATTAGAGCTGGTCCGCCGGCTACAGAGACATTATTTATTTAAAATTGTGTCATTCTTTTATATTATACTTGCTCTGGATTCAATGTTTAAGCAAAACTATTATTAAACATTTATTTTAATAAGAAAAGGTTTAACATGACATATCTTGAAAGAAGCAAAAAACTGTTCAAATTTTTCAATAAATATTTAGTTTGGCCCACAACTTAGTCCCAGATTTTGGCCCTCTGTGAATTTGAGTTTGACACCCCTGGTCTAGAATGTTCCACAGTATAGATTAAATGTATCTATCACGAGGGAGACAATCACATTAAAGCAGTACGCTAGATTAGAGTTCAGATCTGTGGAGAGTCGCCCCGATTCATAGAAGGAATGTTTTTGAGCAATAGAAACACCTGTAATAAATATATGCTTGATGGAAATGTTTAAAGTCATGCAAAAGAAAAATCAGATCCGCACTGCAGTTCTTTGGAGCTCTCAGTTTTTTTTTTTTTTTTTTTTCTTTTAATTTTAACGACACCACAGTGTGATGTTTCGAGGTCAAGCCCTTCTTCAGACATTCTCATTTTTTTCCTTTCGCACATGTTTTTCTTTGGACCCAGCTCACTGTCGCAACTTTTACTGGATGCGCAACTATCTCTATCGACAAATAATGTTTAAAGTCATACCATGGAACATTCCAGGCAAAGCAATAACATCTTTATGGAGAAAAGCAGGTGGCAGACCCTCCACTAGTAAACAGAGCACCTTTAAGATGTCCAAGTTCGGATTATGAACTTCTATGACTCATTATAGACACAAACTACAACTACTTAACTGTTGTATTCGGTTATTTCTTTATTGCAGTTCATTTTTAACAATATTGCACATTTAGAATACTTTTTGGGATTATTCTGCTTTATGATTTGGTTTAAATATAATGTTTATCATCTATATTTACTTCCAGTGTTGGATACATGTACCGGGAATACGTGTTTTGAATACAGATTTTGAGTAACTATATTTCGGTACAGTTACTTTTTTCATTTGATGGTATTCAGAACCACTTTTCTAAAATCAACGGAATACACTGCAGTACTTGATCACGCAATTTAGGCTTCAAACTGCACAATATTAATGAGAAAAACGGAAAGAAATGCTCTTATAACGTGTGACAGGAAATGCATAAGAAATATAAAGTAGTTTTCTTATCATGTTTACACTATCATTCATCGTTTATATGGTGCTCAGTGTAAAAGTATTTGTTGTATTCAGACTACAGTCATCTGCTTGGCCCAGTCTTCCCATCACTGTTTACTTAAGCACTTCAGAGTGAGTTATAGTGACAGGCTTACGAAGCTCTCCGTGGGGACAGCGGCGGCACTGGTCTGAGAGTCTTTCTAGGTCAGCCTTACAGTGTGTTTGTTTTGGTTATTTGGAGCCTTTATTACTGTCAACACCGAGGTTTGCCTGCAGATCTGGCATAGAGGTGCGGAGATACAAAAACACAAAGCATGTTCTCTTTTTGTGCGTATGCCTAACCCACAATAGGGGCTAGTTTCCATTATTTTTCAAAGAGATACGTAATATTCAAGGTACTATATTACGCAGGAATTGACTTGCGAGCTTTTAGACACGTGATAATGTTGTTAAGTCATCAAAAACAGACCTGGAGTTGTGTTTTGTTTCATTCACATGTTTGAGTAATCTTGTGTTATTATTGTTTATATCTCCAAAGCTCAAAATGCTCTGTTCCACCTTGTGATGTCATGAAGCAGTAAATTACAGAACAAACGGCAAAAGGGAGCTGTTAACTAAAAGATAAGCAATTCCAGAGCTGAAATTATCCAAATTATAGTATACAATACCTACTTTATTTATAAAACACTTAAAAAACTTTACAGCTGGCCATAGACTACTACTACTACTACTATAACTACTACAAACTATAGAAAACAATAAGATTCTCAATAAGAAATGTACAGGTCACTTATTAAAAGCCAGAGAAAAAAAGGTGCGTTTGATGAGAGACAGGTGCAAACTCCACCTGTCAAATTTTTTATGGCAACTGGTTCCACTAGCCTGATTCATCAGCCAGATTCACTTCGTGGAAATCGTCTGACTTCGCAGAGTTAGACTTTGTCCGCTTGACAGTAGGCAGGTACTTTTTTATTTAACCAATCGCTGCTATTTGGTCCTGATGTATGTAATGCACCGCTAACAGGGCTAACTGGTATATTAAGCTTTTCCCAGAAGGACAATAACGTCTTTCCCCTTGATAAAATTCTTCAAACATTCTCTTTGTTCCGGCTTTAAATCCTCGATCTCGGGAGTCGCTGCCAACACAGAATATACGGCTCTTCGCTGATTGGCTGGTGTCCAAACTCGCACTTCCATGATTCTTGCAAACCGTCTAGTGTATTCCCATTCCTGACCTAGTCGCTGGAGAGAAATTAAACTGAGCAGAGGCACAAAGTGGCGCCGGCCTGGCTATGGTTCCAGAGTAAAGGGGCAGCAAGAGAAAACACAGGGTCCCTGCAAAGCTTGCGTTTAGTCTTTGGGACGGGGGAAATAATACTCTATTTAAAACACGGTGGAGAACTTCCTGTATAGAGTTTTTCCTGTTTGAGAGAAGAACTGCGCCTAAATATGAAGGGTTTGCGTGTTAAACATATGTGAATGAAACAAAACACAACTCCAGATCTGTTTTTGATGAGGAAATAACATTATAACATAGATCAGAAAACAGCATAACATGGGCCCTTTAATTTAATACTTAAAACTACAACAGCTAATAAACTATAATCCTAGCAATATTGTATAGTGGTATTTCTGCCCTCTTTCAACAAATATATCTCTTATGAAATTATGTACACTTCTATGAGAGTGTTATCATTGTGCAAATACTCTTTAAGTTATGTAATTGTTCCATTTGAACATTGCCAGTCAAATACTCAGCACTAGTACTGCTGTTTAGACTGGGGTAAGGTTGTATGGTTACAGTAAATATATGTTTATGTAAGAGCAGTGTGAGAATACATTAGGTAGTACGCCTTCTGTATTTGCCAGCTGAGTTTTGTTTGAGTTGTCATAATCGTTGTTTATATAAAACAAGAAACTCAAAATATTGTCAGCGATTTACACAGTATATGTTTTGGGAGCTACATAAGACATGTGTTTGTAGATGCGATTTTGGGATAAGGTTTGACAAAAATATCCAGACTGTAATTTGTGGTGGACTTGGAAGAATAAAAAAAAAAGATGAAGAGTCACTATGCGAAGACAGAACATTATGTGGACTTGTTGTTCTCATCTGAGGGAAAGCATGGGCTAAAATCATAGACTGTATAAAGAAGCGGATAAAGGGACTGTGACGTCGCCCATAGCGTTCAGCTCCAGTCAAATGAAGCTCACTGAGGCTGACAGCTATAAGAGCGAATCTGGAGTTGACAAAATAGTAAAATAAAAACATCTGTATCATGTTAATACGAACATTTAAGATCAAAATGAGGAACCTGACAGCAGCGATTACGGAGAGAGGAGTGATGTTTTTTCAATACAAAGAGACCTGGCGCTAGAGTCGATGGAGCCGGAAGTGTGCCCATGCTCACTTCCTATTTTTAACGTGCCAGCTAGCAGGTTAGCTATATCGATTTATATATACAGTCTATGGTTGAAATATTAGTTGTTCTAAATGCCCATAATATCAAAGATCCTCAGGCACGGTGAACACAGATCGGAGGAACACTGTCTCATAACGTGACATTGTTAACTTGAAACTAGAAGAAAACCCCTATTTTAATAACTCAACTTTAGGCCCATGGATGTATAATAAGAACTGGATAAGACGCTCCACTTCTGTCTGTGTGCGTGATCGACTAGTGGCCGATGTGAGGTACTGCAGCTCTGGCCCCGAAAGAGTTCTCCCATAGAGCACAGTGCATTTTTAGTGAAATCAAACTCAGCATGTTTGGCTGACAGGGCAACCACAGCTAGTCTGATTCATCAGCTGGTTTCACATCATTGAAACTACATAGACCTCGCAGCGTTAGAATTCGTTCGCTCAAGAGTAGGTGGTTCTTTTTTTTTTATTTAACCAGTCGCTGCGATTTGGTTGTTTGACGTATGTAATGCAATTTTTTAATTTTCCCAAATTCCCTAGGAAGAAGGGCAATAACGTCTTTCCCCTTGATAAAATTCGCCACATTCTCTTTGTTCCAGGTTTAAATCCTCGATCTCGGGAATCAATGCCAACATAGAATATATGGCTCTTCGCTAATTGGCTGGTGCTCGAACTGGCACTTCCATGGTTTTTGCGAACCGTCTAGTGTATTCCGGTTCCTGATCTAGTCGCTGAACAGAAATGAAATGGCTCAACCACAGCTTTCACAAAGGTCAAAATTTGTAGGGATCCTTTTATAGTTTTACAATATGAACTTAATATAATTTTTAAATCGGCAAAACACCTAAGATTTAGCCTGGCTCCGCTCTAGCAGCTGTTGCTCTGATTGGACAGAACTGCACGTTTCTGAGCGTAAGTAAGTAATGCGGAAAAATAAAACCTTTTTGACATATTTGGCTCATTTTCCAGATCTTATTATAGTTCCATGAATAGGCCTCTGTCTTCATCAGTGTTACAAGAGAGATAAATAGAACACCTAGAGGTCTGTCTGTTTGGTAACTGCAACAATATAACTCTACTCAATAATAAATAGCACTGACAGTCTTCTCCCCAGGCATTTGCATCCTTCTTTGCCATTCGCATTGACAGTCAGGCCTTCAGGGTCACGTTAAAGACTAAGTGTGGACTGTCAGAACTAAGTAAACAAAGTACTTAAGTTGTGGACTTTTTTGAGATTACCTGATTTGAAAAACAGCACCCTAAATCAGGGGCGAATCACTCCCTTCTGAAGGCTGCGAAATACATCGTCATCATACACCATGAAATATCGTTATTGGACCACGCGCGTTGAAGAAAATACAAGGTTAAAATCAAATACAGTTAAATGCTAGTAACGCACACTGTTTCGGTCCCCAGTGGCGTGCTCAAATGAAATTACAAGACAGCAATTCACATTTCCGTTGCTTTCCCTTCACCAGTGTCTATAATAACTAGGTTTTCTACAGATCTGATTGGAGGTGACAGCAGGGATGAATACTACCTTTTCCTCATAGTATCCTCCTAGTGTAAGACTGGCGCGGGAGGATAAAGACCGTGGGAAGGCGTGAGTGGAGCTGTTGTCACGGTAACGACTCCGGAGTGGGAGAACCACACTGAGACGAAGGTTACGGGGTGGGATTCTGGCAGTGAATTGTGTCCATTCTCGTAACTCAGGGCCGTACTGCGCGCTGTAGTTTCTCCACCGACCCCACCGAGCGAGGGCGCCGTTCACCACCTCTTCCTCGCCACCTCCGCGTCCTGGCACTCCACGGCGGACAGCGCGATGAGCATCTGGGCGGCGTAGTAGGTCGCCATGATGATCGCGCGGGAATGGGGCACCGGGAAGCAGAATTTGTTGACGGCGATGGTGAGGTCGGAAACTATGAAGAGGACAGCTCCCAGGCAGGCCGACAGCTTCGTCCAGGTCCAGAGGTCGTTGGCGAGTTGAACGCCCGCTATCGCCCTCCACCCCATGAACGCAATGAGGGCGATGTAGACAGCCACCAGGTACGTGAAGGGCCCGGAGAGGTAAGGGTAGAGCAGGCTATAGCACAGGGCAGACACCAGAGATATGACCAGGCCTGCGCGCACGTTTATCGGCTTCATCCCAAAGGCCGAGGAGTAGAGGATGTGGGTGACGGCGAACATTAGAAGACCTGCGAAGAGATAAATAAAGTAATATATGTTAAAGAAGTATTTAAAGACACGATATTACACTGTTTTCTGATCTGTTATAATGTTGTTTCTTCATCAAAAACATAGCTGGAGTTGTGTTTTGTTTCATTCACACGCAAATCCTGCATATCTAGGCTGAATTCTTCTCTCAAACTGAAAACAACTTCCTTTTCCAACTTCTGATGTCATGTAATACAAGTAGTGCGCAACTGTGTTTTTAAACTCCATACACCTTCACTAGAATCATCTGGCTCATTTTAGACTTGAAATTAGCAATCTCTACTGAACTAAAGTTAAAAGGAACTTAAAAACTACCGCTTCATGATATCACGAATTGAAACAGAGCATTTTGAGCTTTGGAGATGTAGACAGACTAATAATAAAGAGTTACTCAAACATGTGTGAATGAAACAAAACACAACTCCAGGTCTGTTTCTGATAAGATAATACAAGGGCGTAGGTTTGGTCTCAGCTTTGGTGGGGACATTATCAGCTAAACCCTCTCAACGTATGTTTTATGAATTCTTTCCAAAAACATACAGAGTCTGGGCAGGTCCAATACAAGTGAAAGGTTATTTCATTTTTCAGTTCACAAAATGTACAGTTTGTGTCCATTGCCCTTCTAAGATGATTCTTTACTGAATAACAGCTGTAGGAGCCATTTTAACCTTTTATTTGGTGCTTGCCTGTGACTTTGTCCTCCATCCACTGTGTGACAGTATGGTGCCCTCCTTAATATATTTAAGGGCAAAGAAGGCAGCCACAGGTGCTGCTGATTGAGGACAAAGTGTTTTTGACCGCATTGTTTGTATTGTGGACTATGTTGATGGCATTGGTAAGCCAATAAAGGACTAAGAATTTGGATTTATATTAAAGGGTGTCAGAACAACTTTAAATCAGTAGCCAGGTGGCCAATGGCATAGGGCCACTGGCTGCTACAACAGCGATGTAGAAGTTTGTAGCAGATTTCCCATTGCTTGTTGGTGATGAGATATTTGTGAGGTAATGTCCATTCATTTTTCCATGGAATATTGTCAGTAGAGTCCGGCTGCTCACAGCACACGAGTAGGGCGCCATTTGGGAGGTTATTTGTGGCGACAGTTGCTCTTTTTCCGCAGCGACTCATTATTAGACAAGTTTGATTGAAGATGAAGCCAAGTAAGTTCCTGTTGAAAAGTTTCTCACAGTTTGGTGCCCAGCGTCTTGACTCACGCCTGCTCGAGCCGCCATCTTTGAGTGCTTCCCCAGTTTAGGCTCCTGGCTCCACTAATGACATCACTCTGTTACAGCCAATGAAATCTCAGCAGGTGTAACCCTGTCGTCATATCACTGAATACATCTCAGAACGTCTAATAAAAAAAAAGTGAACTAAAACGTGTTAAATTAATACTTTTGTGTTTGTTTATTAAAATAAAATGTCAAATATTGGTCGGGATTATTTTGTCTTTCCCAAATATTGGTTGTGACATGTCCCCACCGTCCCAGTGCAAAAGTACATCCTTAAGATAATAACATTATAACATGGCTTAAACCTCATAAATAAAAGTACATTTTGCGTAATACGTGACCTTTAATACTTGAAGACTGTGCTCCATGGTTTAAATAAAGTAGTTACCCACCTAAAGGATATCTGAACACCTTACATAATAATATCTTGTTAAATTGGCAGTCACATTCTCAAAATTCAATATCGCCTACAACACTTTAAATAGAGGAAGAAAATTGGCACAGAAAAGCATGATTTTTAGATTTTGCTGCCAAACATTGCTAAAAATATGACATGGCTCTGTCCCATTTCCTGTTCAAACCTTTTTAAAATCTATAATCTATTTTGACAGACGCAGAAATAAATCAAAACAGAGCGAAACTTTATGGAGAATTTTAAGTAGTTTTATGAGGATAATGGTGTCAAAATGGCTATAGTTGTAGGTTCCCAAGTGTCCGCTGATAAAAGGACATTGAGGATTGGGTCAAATACACAAATATTACATAATTCCCGACAGTCACAATCAGGTTTACCTTCTGTCGCGCATTTGTCATTGCTCACCACTGAGGTCATTTTCTTCCTAGTTTATAAGAGACACATCAATTAAATTTGATTAATGGTTCTTCAGGGATATTTGTTATACTGGGAGATATTTCCGTGAGTTAAGAAGTTATTTATGTCTTGTTTGGACAGATTATTCCATGAAATAAACATAGATACTGAAGAAATGTGCTGACCATAAATGGAAATGGTATATATTTAAACTTATGGTGACATATGCAACATTTTGAAGACTGGGTTTATTGTTTATAATGGAACAACTGTCTCAAAAATGCAGCAAAAAGAGTTGATTAAAAATGTAAATATAAGAAACTGTTACATAATTTTTCCAACAATGTTATGAGGTATTATTTATTATGAGTATTATTTATTATTTATTTATTGGTATTATTTATTATTTATTTATTGGTATTATTTATTATTATGTATGTATGTATTTATTTATTGATATTATTTATTATTTATTATGAGTATAATTTATTATGAGGTATTATTTCCCCACTCCATTTCAAAAGCCTCATTTGCTGTGTTGGTACATTTTTGTTGGTTTGTCAAAATATCTTCTAAAAAACATTTGCATATTTCTCATATCATATCATACAGTGACATCACGCTAGGGGTTTTCTGCGTATATCTCTAATTTCGGAATGTTTAGGAGTTACCATGGTGACACAATGTGCACATAAGCAAACACTGTCAAAAATGTTTGTATGAAAACCAAGGACAAAATACAAAATGGATTTAAACATTTTTCCAGTTAGATTTAAACATTTTAATACATTTATTTTCAGGAGTCTGTGGTGAATATGAGCAGTGGTGCAGTGGGGATTTTTTTAAGTGGGGATACACAATTCGTGATGTCGTAAATCAGTAATATTTAATTTTATTTTATTTTTTTCACATGTGCCCAGGACAGAACCAGGACTGAACCAGAACTGAACCAGGACTAAAACAGGACTATGTGAGGAGTAAACAAGGTCTAAACCAGGACTAAACCAGGACTGAAAAAGGTCTAAACCAGGACTGAACCTGGACTAAACCAGAACTATATGAGGAGTAAACCAGGTCTGAACCAGGACTGAACCAGGACTGAACCAGAACTGAACCAGAACTGAACCAGGACTAAAACAGGATTAAATCAGGACTAAACTAGGACTGAAAAAGGTCTAAACCAGGACTAAACCAGGACTAAACCAGTACTAAACCAGGACTATATAAGGAGTAAAAGGACTAAACCAGGAATAAACCAGGACTATTTGAGGAGTAAATAAGGTCTAAACCAGGACTAAACCAGGACTGAACCAGGACTGAACCAGGACTGAACCTGGACTAAAACAGGACTAAATCAGGACTAAACCAGAACTGAAAAAGGTCTAAACCAGGACTAAACCAGGACTATATAAGGAGTAAAAGGACTGAACCTGTACTAAACCAAGACTACTGTATGTGAGGAGTAAATAAGGTCTAAACCAGAACTGAACCAGGACTGAACCAGGACTGAACCAGGACTGAACCAGAACTGAACCTGGACTAAACCAGGACTATGTGAGTAGTAAACCAGGTTTAAACCAGGATTAAAACAAGACTAAATCAGGACTAAACCAGGACTGAAAAAGGTCTAAACCAGGTCTAAACCAGGACTAAACCAGGACTAAACCTGGACTAATCTTGGACTTGAGAGCGAGAGGGAGCCTGTGGAACAGGATGTCTGCAAAACGCGATCGGGCGACCGTCTACCCGGGCACACCTCGGCCTATGCAGGTTGTTTTCACAATTGCCAATAGCTCCGGTTTGACATTTAAGTTGTAGCTATTTTATATTTGTTATTTTTTTATATCTCAAGTCGGGAGAAGTGGGTGGGCGGCGCACTCCCACGTACCACGCCCACTACACTGAATATGAGTAACTGAAAAACTGTCTGACACACACTATCTTCGTCATTTTATGTATAAGAGACTTTTTTAACAGCAAAAATCAGCTCACCTTTTGTAGTTTTAGCTAAATCTATTCTTTATGGTCAGACTGTGTTAAAACAAAACTCAGTGAATTTATTATAACTGTCACTTTGCTTCTTACCATGAACAAAGTACCCCTGCTCCTGCCAGATGAGGAAGGCGTCTCCCAGGGCTGAAAATATAAGACCGGCCAGAATCTTCCGGGCGCTGGCGTGTTCGCCCAGGAACCTGAACCCGTGTGCCAGCAGGAACACCCACAGACAGAAGATGGGCAGGCATTTGATCAGCGCGCTAAACCAGGAGGGGGTGGAGGTGGGCAGCCACAGCACGAAGTAGACACAAGTCGATTTGAAGAACGGAACCAGCTTTGGGCCTTCGCTCTTGACCTGAAAAAACACCACAGAACACATTAAATCGCTTTATGTGAGTTTATGGGCCTGTATTAATACTTTGCAGTGACATCAGGATGGGGACATTGAGGTCTAATTGTCAGAGTAGCGGCATAAACATTATTTTTCAAGCGTACCACTACTTCGACTTTTTATTTTTCGTTGTCGAAGTAGTGGCATTTTACTCTTTTTCAAACATTCTACTTTTCCAACATGAATGATTTTAAAGGTTGCATAGAGGATTTTTTAAGGGAAGAGAAATACAGTGACAGTCCTTTTTCAAATGGTGTGCATACGTGACACCACTTCCCTCCTTCACAGCTCCCTCAGTAGAAGCACCTCCTCCCACCTCCTTACTCTAGAAATCACGCTTGTTTACAGACAGTGCGCATTCAGAATTACTGTTGAAGTGACCTGTCTAGATGTAATTTAGCAACCGGCGCGTCAGTTTTTAGACCCTTCGTCTGCTTCAGTCTCGCCATCGCTGGAAGGAATCTCCAAGAATCACCTCAGTTTGTCTTCGCTCCTTTTCCCCCTTCTCTTCTTCTTTCAGCGACCTCAAAAATGGACTTTCTTTTTGCGGTGAACTGGTCGTGGATTCTCGTCCGCCATCGCAACAAACTTTGTGCGAATTGCAAGGAAGCTACAGTTTAAAAAAGCCTCTAAGAACCGCTGCATAAACCACGTAATCCCAGCGTGCCGGCGAGTCACTTACACTAGGGAGTTTGACTGACAACCTAACAGCCAATGGATAAAGAGGGAGTCTTGTTTTCTATTGGCTGATGTTTATCTGGCCTCACTACATGCACAGTTGATAGATTTTCTTTCTTTTCTTTTTTGTTTTTGTTTTTTTGGTCATCAGAATTACAAGGCTGTTGTGTCTCTGTAATGGTATTTTAAACTTCTACTGACAATCTGAAACAAAAAAAAAATCCTCTATACAACCTTTAATGTGATAGCCTATTATACTTTTCACTCCCATATATCATAAAATGCTTGATCAGAGAATACTTCAGCCACATAGGATATCAGACACTGGGAAAATGTCCTAACTGAGCCATGGGAAACAGTCATGCATTTTAAAAAAGAGCATAGGCCAGCCTTCAGGAAAATATCTAATCTAAAACAGAGGCTGTATGGGCCCTTTGTGCTTCATTCTTTTCGTCATGTAGGCGATCTGTGGAGAACACCATACAGCCTAAAAAAAAAACAAGTTCATTGCACCAGCTCATTGAGATGACACTCTCGCAGCCCAAAACTCACATATGACATGTTGGAACAGCGATATTAAAAAGTGTTGGAAAACCGGCACGTCTAAATAGATACTAAATAAATATTACTATATCGACCTATCGTTCAAAATATGAAAGTTTGAACAATACTTTTTGGGGTCAATATTTATAGTGTGTTCATTTTCTTTGCACTACTGGGAAGTTTTTGGTTATTTTCTAGTTAGATTATAAGATTTAAAGGTGCCATTTTTCTGGTGGAGGGTCTGCCACCTGCTCGTCTCCGTGGAGATGTTACTGCTTTGCCCATGGTATGATTTTAAGCTTATCTATGAAGTAATTTATTCATTACGTGTGTTTCTATTGCTCAAAAATACAATCATTCCTTCTCTGAATAGGAACGACTCTCCACAGATCTGAATTGTAATGCAGCGTAATCCTGCAACGGAAATCAGCTGGAAGGTCCCCAAGATGGAAAGTCCACCAGGCTAGAAAGTCATATTTAATATCATACATATATAGTTAAAACCGTCCACCTTCTGAATGATTTTTGAACAATTTCTGTAGCTTTCTAAGTTTCTTGTGTTGCGCTGCTTACAAATTATGTTCATGGGAGGTAAGAAAATAATTAACATTTCTTCCCAAATCAAGAGTTACAGATGCTACAGGACATGGAGAACAAGAAAAAAATATTTAAAATCCAATCTCATAGGAAACATCTGCGAGCAAATGAGGATTACATTGATATTACAGACTGAAAACATTTTTGCAGCTTCAGGAAGATTGATAAAATTACAAAAACAAAGCCTGACATTTGGTCTTGCTACATTCACATTTCATTTTATTATGATATAGAACGGGCGACTGGTGGGAGGAGGGGGACGTTACCGCCGAGAGAATGAGACGTTCGAGCCGGGACTTTCAAGCCAGGGGGACGTTCGAGCTGGTATTCCCTGTAACCTGCTTGTCTCCCTATTGATAGACGGGTTTAATCAATACTGTGGAACATTCTGGACAAAGCAATAACACTTCCATGGAGACAAAAGGTTGAATTAATTGCTTTTATGACTCATAACAGATGCAAACTAAGCACTAACATTTTTCATTCTGCTGTTTATTTATTGCAGCTCATAATTTTTTAACAATATTGCACATTTTAGAATAGTTTTGTGGTTTAAATCTGCTCTTGGGTAATTGTGTCAGTGGCATAAAAGAGTTTCAGTATTACAAAAGGCCTCTAACTCATTATTAAAACCTGTCTGTATGAAATATTATTGCCCCTGTGATGTCATCTGAAACCCAGTAATAATAAATGACTGCGTAAAACACGATACTGTGGCTTTGTCTGCAGAGATAAAGGGGCTTTCACATGAACTCTGAGGGCAAGCCACACGGCGCAGCATAATCCTCACCCTATAACTTTGACTAAAAAGGAGAACACGAGGAGCTAAATTTATCTACTTCTCCAAGCTGTTCTTTGTGGGCGCTAATTTGCACAGCTAAGTCAGTAAAGCATGATTTGGTCGGAGGGAGGAGAACCGAAAGAGCAAGCCTAAGCTTCTTGTGACTTTTAGTTAACTTTATGTGCATGTTTTAACCTTGACCCAGGCCCTTACAGATCATGTGTCTGACCACAAGTGTTGGGAAGTAACTGAATACATGGACCTAGAATACGTGTTCTTAATATTAATCTTGAGTAATTTTAGTCTGGTCAGTGATGGGAAGAATACTTTGAAAATGTATTTAGTTACAGAATACTGAATACTGAAAATGTAGGGATGTAACGATATCCAAATCTCTCTATGATATTTTCAGAACTGTGAATATGCAACTTTTTCCTCTTAAAATGCCTTTACAAGACTTAATCCAAAGAACTAAGATCTAAAAGCGCTTACAACTTTTTTATGCACTGGAATGGAGCAAAGGATCATGGTCTATGTAGTTCCCCCCCTTTTTTTAAGCTATTGCTGCACCATAACTCTTAATTTAAGCAAAGACACTTGTAATTCGATATATTTTGATGGTCCACGATATTATTGTGAGAACTTTAATGATACCATATCACGATATATTCGATTATTGTTACGTCCCTATTAACATATATTTGGTAAACTATTCCGATACATGGACCAGTCACGAGTACTGTGTTCTAGTATTGTAGTACTCGAGACTGATCCTTACCTCGAGACTGCTTTTTTACAGTCTTGGTCTCGTCTCGGACTCGAGCGTATTTGGGCTCGGTCTTATGTCGATCTTGAAGGAGCTTGGTGTAGGTTTTGTCTCGGACTCGAGGTTTGACACTCGGCGAACATGATCGTATTTCATTACGGTCTGTAAATGTGCAGAGGCTAAATATCACTGCAAAAACTGTAAGATAATGTAACTGTAAATATTATGAACTCAAAAAAACCCACTCGATTCACTTTGAAGCTGTTTTCTGTAGTTTTGAAGGGCTTCTCAAACTGTGGGTAAGGGTCCAAAAACAGGGCGCAGTGTTTAAGTGCAGTGCAGTTTGCTTGGCCTATTTTAAGCCTAAATTAACAATAATCAGATCAAATGCAAATAGATCTATATAAAAAAAAATACACAAAATATGATATGTATGTGCCAAAATAACAGTAAAATACAAATAAAAGTAGAAAATGACAAAAATGGTCTTGGTTTGGTCTCGATGGGCCGTGGTCTCGCCCTTTAAAAGTCTTGGTCTTGTCTTGGTCTCAAACTTCAGAGGTCTTGGTCTTGTCCTGGTCTCGGGACCCTGTGGTCTCGGACTGGTCTTGGTCTCAATTAGTTGCGGTCTCGACTACAAAACTACTGTGTTCTGAATAAATAGAATACTTTCACATCGAGTTGCTACAGTTTTATATTTATTTCACTGTTTTGAAAGCTCCTATCTCAAGGATTACAGGCATTTCCTATTACTGATTAGAAATGGAAAAATCACACATGCACTTTCCCTAATCGGAGTTTTTCTATTTTTCTCACTACTTTTGTGCAGTTTGAAGCCTAAATTACACTATCAAAAAGACATAATGTATTCCTTGATTTTAGAAAAGTAACTAAAGTTACTCAAAATGAATATTCTGAACACGTACTCTGTTACTTCCCAACACTGATTCTAGTGCAGTTACTTTTTCATTTGGTGGTATTCGGAGTAGTTACTTTTCTAAAATCAAAGGAATACATATATAACAGTAAAGGTATTTGATCACATAATTTAGGCTTCAATCTGCAGAAAATCAGTGAGAAAAACAAAAAACTCTGCTCTTGTTATGAATGCATGTGTGATTTTTCCTTAATTACTGACGGGAAAACACTGATACATATATAAAGCTGTTTTCAGTCCTATGTTTATAGTGTAGGATCTTTACACTATATAATTCAAATGTAACTCGATGTAGAAGTATTCAAAGTATTCAGAATACAGTACTCTGATTGGACTATGAATCAGATTACGTTGGCGTGTCATGATAATTACTATATTGACTTAGGGTTCAGTATATTTGAGCTGGAACAGTGTATTTGGGGATCAGTTTTTATCATTTTTACATTTTCTTTGCACTACTGGGAACTTCTTGGATCATTTCCAGCAATATGTTATAATTTAGGCCATAAAAAGTCGAATGAATAACTTCTATGACTCATTACAGATGCAGACTAAGCACGAAAGCTGTTCCATTCTAGGATTCATTTATTGGAACTCATGATTTTTTAACAATATTGTAGATTCTGAATATTTTTTGTGGTTTAAATCGGCTCTTTGGTTTT